AAAAGGCTCTCATTAATTTTTTTTTTAAAGATTTTATTTATTTTTAGAGAGAGGGGAAGGGAGGGAGAAAGAGGGACAGAAACATCGATGTGTCAATGTGTATGAGAGAGAAATCAATCAGTTGCCTCTCACACGCCCCCACACTGGGGATCTGACCTGCAACCCAGGAATGTGCCCTGACTGGGGATTAAACTGGCGACCTTGTGGTTTGCAGGCCAGTGCTCAATCCACTGAGCCACAGTAGCCAGGGCTCATTCATTTTTATGGAGCATTTATTATTTTATGCCAGACACTAGGTCTGCACTGTCCCAACTGCACATCTCTAGAAGCACACATGTGGTTGTTTAAATTTAAATTAATTAAATATAAGTAAAAACTCGATTCTGCAATTGCACCAGCCACATTTCCCATGCTCAGTAGCCACTGAGCACTACCACTAAATATTCTGTTGGACAGTGCCACACTACACATCTTGTTTTTGTTGTACTTTAAACCAGACACATTGTAACACAGTGGCTGCGCTAGCCTTGGAAATATCTCTAGTGGTGGTGGTAGGTGCCACACTGAGCTTGACTTGGCTTGGGGTCCACTTGACTTCCAGATCCTCTTGACTATGTTTAAAGGGGTCTGGGACCCTTCCCTTCTAGCATAGCATTATCGCTCTTTTACCACCAATCTCACGTCTGGCCTCTCCCTCCCTGTCTCCTGTGTACAGGTGATCCGCCAGCTAATGAAGAAGGAATTCACCCTGGAGTTTTCCCGAGACAGAAAGTCCATGTCTGTCTATTGCTCCCCAGCCAAATCCCGGGCTGCTGTAGGCAACAAGATGTTCATCAAGGTCAGAAATCAGAATGCGCCCCAGCCCCGTTTCTTCCCAATCCTGAGGCCTCCTCCTATCCCTGCCCGCTCACTGTACCCTGGAAGGGAGACAGTCCCCTCTGAATGCTGTTCTGGTCTCCTAGGGTGCCCCCGAGGGGGTCATTGACCGTTGTAACTATGTACGAGTTGGCACCACCCGGGTGCCGATGACTGGGCCGGTGAAGGAGAAGATCATGTCCGTGATCAAAGAGTGGGGCACTGGCCGGGACACTCTGCGCTGCCTGGCTCTGGCCACCCGGGACACACCCCCAAAGCGAGAGGATATGATTCTGGATGACTCTTCCAGATTCATGGACTACGAGGTGAGCCGGTGGAAGCCTCCCATTGTCCCAGAGTCATCTGTCTCACCTCCTCCGCTGCCCTTGTCATTTCCTACTTCGTCATGGGTCCTAGAATCACCAGACATGAGAGTTTGAAAGAACCTTAGTGCTACTTGGCATGTGCTCTGTGGACCTGCCTGTGATGAGGTGAGGTGCTTGAACGCACCAGAACAGAAATGAGCTATCACTAAACATACTGGGGTTCAGCTGACGTGTTTCCATAGTGAGATTTTCTTGATGCAAGAAGCAGCACATCGACCTGCGTTCTGGCACAAAGCTCCTTTTTCTGTAGTGGACCGGCTCTCCGGAGAGCACCAAAGTCCATTCCCTTCATTTTAGAGAGGGGACACCTGTGGCAAAACAGTTCACACAAATTTGCTCCAAGTTGTAGACCGAGTGAGTGGCCCTTCTGAAAGCAGAACCCTAACTTTGTGTTCAGTTCTTTCTGTGGAAGACACAGTCTGCCCCTTACAGTGCGCCTGGCACCGCCAAGCCTGCAGGTACATGTGTAAACAAGGAGCGTTTTCTGTCCTTGAGCTCACAAGGTCCTGCTGAGGTTTAAACACCAGGCCCAGAGCAAGCTCTTCCCCCAGGTCAGACCTTTCTCCCCAGCTCCCCAAGAGTTTCCTCCCTGAACCATTTTTTCAGTCCCTCCCTGATCCTGCTGCTCTCTGCTCTGTTCTCCCAGATGGACTTGACATTTGTTGGTGTGGTGGGCATGTTGGACCCTCCTCGAAAGGAGGTCACAGGCTCTATCCAGCTGTGCCGTGATGCCGGAATCCGAGTGATCATGATTACTGGGGACAACAAGGGCACAGCCATTGCCATCTGCCGACGAATTGGCATCTTTGGGGAGAATGAGGAGGTGACAGACCGAGCTTACACTGGCCGAGAGTTCGATGACCTGCCCCTGGCTGAGCAGAGGGAGGCCTGCCGTCGCGCCTGCTGCTTTGCCCGAGTGGAGCCTGCCCATAAGTCTAAGATTGTGGAGTATCTGCAGTCTTACGATGAAATCACAGCTATGGTGAGAAGACCAATGGGGCTGCCCAGGCTGGGGGCCCCCGTGGAGTCTTGCTTGGAGCAGTCTGCCTAGTGCCCACTAAGACAATTATCTTCAGGAGCTGGAGGCCCAGGGAGGGAGGAGCTGAGGGCCCCGGTCAGATGCACAAGGGGTGTGTAGGAGGGGCCCGGTCCCACCTTCACTCTCCCCTCAGACAGGCGATGGTGTCAATGACGCCCCTGCTCTGAAGAAGGCTGAGATCGGCATTGCCATGGGCTCCGGCACCGCTGTGGCCAAGACCGCGTCTGAGATGGTGCTGGCTGACGACAACTTCTCCACCATCGTGGCTGCTGTGGAGGAGGGCCGGGCCATCTACAACAACATGAAGCAGTTCATTCGCTACCTCATCTCCTCCAACGTGGGCGAGGTGGTCTGGTGAGCAGCTGGGGAGGGCACCAGGAGGAACCAGGCCCGGGTGGGGGATGACCGCAAGTCCGGGAGCAGGACGGACATGTGACCACCTCCTTCTGGCAGCATCTTCCTGACAGCCGCCTTGGGGCTGCCCGAGGCCCTGATCCCTGTGCAGTTGCTGTGGGTGAACTTGGTGACTGACGGGCTCCCAGCCACAGCCCTGGGCTTCAACCCGCCAGACCTGGATATCATGGACCGGCCCCCCCGGAGCCCCAAGGAGCCCCTTATCAGTGGCTGGCTCTTCTTCCGCTACATGGCAATTGGGGGTAAGTAGGATGAGACTCTACAATCCTTTCCAAGCCTCCAGAATGACGCCCTCTGGGACACGAGCCCCTTCAGTGCAGCTGGCCTGATTGCTTCTTTCCGTCAACCGGCTGTTCGTGTCCCAAAGGTCCTCTCGACACCTCCCAGCCCTAGCCGCCAACTCCCATCTTCTTTCTACCACAGGTTATGTGGGTGCAGCCACTGTGGGAGCAGCTGCCTGGTGGTTCTTGTATGCGGAGGACGGGCCCCATGTCAGCTACAGCCAGCTGGTAGGAGAGGACGGAAGAGGGAGGATGGAGGGGCGGGGAGGAAGGTGGCCTGGAGGCTTCGGTGGGACCCCAGTTCTCTCCCCGTCCGCCTGCAGACTCACTTCATGCAGTGCACTGAGGACAACCCCGACTTTGAGGGTGTGGAGTGTGAGATCTTTGAGGCCCCTGAGCCCATGACCATGGCCCTGTCTGTGCTGGTTACCATCGAGATGTGCAATGCTCTCAACAGGTAGGGCCTGCACGCCCTCCCCTGCCTCCTTGTCCTCCACCGCTCCTTCCTCTCTCCTCACCACTCTTTCTTCTCGTGTCCTCCACACTTGCCTCCGCCTGGCCGTCCATTTGCAGCCTTTCTGAGAACCAGTCCCTCGTGCGGATGCCGCCCTGGGTGAACATCTGGCTGCTGGGTTCCATCTGCCTCTCCATGTCCCTACATTTCCTCATTCTCTACGTTGACCCCCTGCCGGTGAGCCTTCTTCTGGCCAGGGCCACCTGTTCCCCACCACACACGGAGCCCCGGTAGGGGCCCCTGACCACTCTAACTACAAGCACTCACCAAGGGAAGAAGGTGGGGTCAGGCTGGGGTGGCACTGCGTCCTCTGGCCCCTGCCCGCCCCCTCCTCGAAGGTGGACTTGGCCTTCTCACCGCCTCTGATCACTCCCTCTCAGATGATCTTCAAGCTCCGGGCCCTGGACTGGAACCAGTGGCTCATGGTCCTTAAGATCTCATTGCCAGTCATCGGGCTCGACGAACTCCTGAAGTTTGTTGCCCGGAACTACCTGGAGGGTAAGAGGCTGCCCTCCCCTGAGCGCTGCCAGCCCCTGGGCCCTGAGTACAGCCCCGCCCCCTCTGCGCTGCGAAGGCGCATGCCCCCGCCCTTTTCCTTTTCAGGTGGGTGTGTTACTGGTCCACCAGGGAGGCGTACCCAGGTCCCTTTCCTCCCCTGCCCCCATCCTCTATCCGTGGGGCAGGACACCTTCTTCTCGGTGCCCCCACAACCTCCTCGGCCCTCTTGGCCCTACACACCCCCTCTCCAATAACGGCTGTCTCTCTGTCCTCTCTGGCCATAGGATAACTCGTTTCCCCCTCCTCCATCTCTTTGAACCGTGTCACAGGTATCTCCCTTCTTGCCCTCACTCCTAGCTGCTGTGCCCCCCACCCACCCGTCTCTCCCGGACGGTGGCATCCGAGGCCACTTGCGCTCGCACACCGCCACTGCCATGCTTCCAAGCGAGGGGTGCGCTGCTGCCCTTACTCTGCGGGTCGGCATTGCCCTGGCCTCTGGGCACCACTATGTCTGCTGGGCTGGGCTGCGCTGCGTTGCGCTGGCTGGGCGCTGCGCTGGCTGGGCGCTGCGCTGTCTGCCGCTGGGGCTGCAGTGGTTGGGGGTGGGGTCTGGGGACACAGGTGGGTAAGGGGGCTGCTGGGAGACCCTCCAGGTAAGTCTGCGGAGGGTGGGGGCAGCAAGCCTAAGAGGGACTGTTCCTCTCCTGCCCCCTGCTTCAGCCCCCCCTTTTCTCCTTCCAGATCCAGAAGATGAAAGAAGGAAGTAACCAGTCCTTTTGCCCCTTCTTCCCCACCCTGATAGTGACACATCTTCAGCCAGAGCTGTGGCACAGACCCCACATCCCCTCTCCCCCTTGACATTCTTGTTTATAAACACAGCGTGCCCTTCACTCTTCCCCCCCCACCCCAGCAGCCCTCCCTATTACCCTATGAAACCTCCTCTTCCCCAACAACGTGGGGCTTGCAGGGACAAGGCTACCGACTGAGCTGAGCTGCTTATTTATTGAAAATAAACGACAGAAAAGTCTGGTCTTGCCTCCATGCACATCTTGGGGCCTGGGTCAGGCCCTTGGGGACAAGCATCTTAGTGTCATGCAGTCCAGAAAGCAGCTGCCTGTCCAGGGCGCATGTATGGACAGAGGCTCCCAGTCACCACTCACAGCTTGGCTGTGCCTTAGGGAAGGGGACAGGGGATGGACTATTAGTCTGGTTGGGGGACAGGGGCACGAGGGTTGGGACCCAGGAGGCAGCATGGCAGCTAGAAAGTCACAGGGCTGAGCCTGCACCTTTGGGTACAGTGGGGAGTTGGGACCCTCACCCAGAGTCACACTCAGGAGCAGAAGACCCAGCCACTCCTGGGAGGAGGCCCCGGAGGGCCAGGACAGTGGTGGCCCCACCCCTGAAACCCCAGGCTCAGAGAGGGGGAAGACTCCACCCTGGGACCCCCCCCCAAAGCTTAGGCCTAATGGTTCTGCAGTGGAGAAGGCAGTCTCCCCGGAGTGGGTGGGTTTGGCCTCTCAGGAGTCCTTGATGTCCCTGATGTCCCTGAGGGGTGCCTCGTCCATGATGCTGCGCACTTGCTCCAGACTCTCTGCCTGGCGGATCTGTTCCAGGCGCACCTGGGGGTCCAGTGAGGAAAGCAAAGGGTCCTTGGTGCAGCACCCCCCAACCTGCCAGCCCCCAAGGGGCAAGGGCCCAGCAGCAGGGTACCCAGGGGCCCCGCCTCCCCCAACCCAGGGCGAAACCAGGTTCAAGGGGAAGAAATGGGTCCTAAGGGAACAGCCTGAGGAAGCACGGGGGAGGGGCAGGTGCAGATGACATGATGAGCGCACTGCACGTCCATGCGCCAGGCCCTGGGCTGGGGCCTTCGCATGACCAACAAAGATAGACACACGAGAGCAGTAGCTCAGAGGAGAGAACCATGCCAGCCCCAGAAGGGGAAAGAAGACTCCTAATTGGGGTACTGTCCTTGTATGACCCAGGACAAGTCACCTGGAGTCATGGCAGACTGGTGGAGAGGGGACATGCCATACCTGCAGGGCCTGAGACAGTCGTACAAAATCCCTCTGCACCTGTTCACTGGTCTCCAATTCGGCCTGCAGCCGCAGCACCTTTGCCCTCTGTTCCGAGAGGAGGTCTGAGAGCTGAGCCTGGGGGGACAGATGCAAGCTGGTGCCTTGGGCCAGATGGGAGGGTGTGTGGCCAACTGGAGGTAGAGCCCCTCTACCCACCCCTGAGCCCGGTGACTGCCTCAAGGCTTCCTGCTGCCGGGTCTGAGACAGACAGAAAGGGCAGGAGGGGCTGGTTAGGGTCTTCTCCACTCTGCCACCCCTTCCCCGTCATCCCATCTGGCCTGACTTCTGCCCCACCTTGCTCTGTTCCTGGTGGATTCGCTCCATCTCTGTCCTCAGGCTGCACAGGGAGGCTAGGAAGTCAGGCAGGGACAGCAAGTCAGGCAGGGACTGGACATCAAGCCCACGCCCTCCCTCCATCACCCACCTCAACCCCACCAGGCTCCAGCCCATACTTACCCTCTAACACCTCTGTGTGGAAAGGAAAGAAAGAGAGGTCAAGGCCCATTCTCGCACTGTCTCTTCTCTTCCCCTCCTGGCACCCAAGTGGCCCAGTGTGGGGAAGTCACCCTCCCTGAGAGCAGGGGTGGGGTGTCTCACGTCTTCTCCTCTCACCTGTCTCCTCCCGCTGCACCCTCAGCTGCCCCTCCAGGCTGGCCCTTGCCGCAGTCTCTTCCTCCAGCGCCTCCCGCAGCGTCACAATCTCAATCCGAAGGCGCTCTGCCTCATGCTCCCGGGCCTGCTGATGGGCCCTTGCCTCCTGCCCCACGCGGCGCACCAACTGCTGCAGCTCCTGGAAGGGAGGCAGGCAGGCAGTCCCCTGCTGGGTGTGGGGCAGGAGGGGCAAAGACAGCAGGGGCCACCGGCTACGTGGGGATTATGGAGAGGGGAAAGGGAGGGAGGAAACTGAAAAGGAGAGAGAAACCAAACACCCATCGCCCATCATGGGGTGAGTGGACAAATACATTGTTCCACCAGTGACTTCTACAGCGAGCAGCCCTGCCCTCAGGGGGCAGACCCTGAGGAAGGGTGCAAGAGATTACCTAGAGCAGAGACCCTTGAATGAAGCTCAGAAACACTAAGGTTAGCACTCCACTGTTTAGGCAGCCACATATTTGTAATAAAAATGGTACCAAAACAGAACACAGGAATGGTCAAATTCAGGAAGGTGGAAACAGAGCCAAGCTGTACAGGTACACATAAGGAGATTTAAGTTGTATTTTCAGGATGGGCAAGGTTTCCGGGTAACCTTCATATTTTTAATAAATTAATAATATGACCAAAGACCATGCATAGACCAATGAAGACAGCTTACTATGAACCAAAGATTTTAATGATTTCAACCTTGTGGCTCTCATGTCACTTAAACCAAATTACTGCTTTTACATCAAGCATTCTGTTAACTTATTTCCTCTTCATGCCAGTACTGGCAAGAGGATTTGGTTCCATTTTCAGGTGAGGAAACAGCCTTAGAAAAGTCAAGTGAGTGGGCCAAAGTGGTGATGCAGTTAAAACACAGCAGCCTGGATCTGTCCCCAGGTCCCATGGTCCCAGGCTAGTGCTCTTCTGGGTAAGAAGATGTGTCAGCAGGATGAACCCAGGCTCTCAGTGCCTGCACTCCCCTTACCGGGACTGAGCTGGGCAGGGATTCCTCCTGGCCCTCATCCTGCTCCAGGACCCGGGGGGATGAAGATGGTGGCTGCTCGGCCCGGAGCCCTTGGTTTTCTTCGGTCAGCCGCTTTACCTCATGGCTCAGGCACTTGTGGGAGGTGGCCAGCTCTGCCTGCGTGTGGAGAGTTAGTAAGGGCCAATGACGTGGGTAAGGTGTCTCCAGTCCCCCGTGAGGCCTAACCCTCAATCCTCCTCCAGACACTGCTGACAGCTGGAAAGCCCACACCCTCCTCCTCTGCTGAGAAAGGAAGACACACCCTTTATTATCTTTGTCTTTGTCTCCCACGTCCTTTATACACTCTTCTCAGTGACTTGGAGGTCACACCGCAGCAGCCATAGGCCATGTTGGGTGTTTTATTTGGTCCGTATGTTATTTTAAACCTTAAATTAGTTGCAAACTTAAAAAATTTGGAGACCACAAACATTCAGATTTCTGGCTCCTCTTGGCAAATCAGTAAACCTGGCAGCATTGCGGTCGAATTCCCACGTGGTGAAGTTGAGGAGCGGCTGTCCCCGCGCACCGTCTCTGTTTGCCATGCTACTCCTTCCTGCCTCACAGCTGGCCCAACTCAGCCATTTACAGTTCTTGTCTGGTCTTGGGAAATACCTGCTTTTGCAGTCCTTGCTTTTAATTTTCATGACTCTGTAAGCTAGGTCCCATTATCTCAATTTCAAGGCAGCAAGGCTGAAGCTCTCTGCTTGTGGGATCGGCTCAAGATCACAAAGCAGGTGTGCTGAGGGCTCTGTCTGAATGCACAGCCCCTGCTTTGGCCACAGTGCCAACCCTTTTACCCAGCTGGCACCAAATCCAGGTGCAGCCCACAAGAACAGGGGCCTCAACCTTCCATGCACCCTCCTCAACCAATTCCCATCACTCTCCTCTCCCTTTTGCCCCAGCTCCAAAGTCCTCACCATCTGCAGCTGAACCCGCTCCTGGGCCTGGCTCACAGTCCCCTGCAGGGTCTGCAGCAGCTGCTCTGAGTTCTGGACCTGGGCCAAGAGCACCTGCATCTGTGGGTGGAAGGGGGCAAGGGTGAGGTGAGGTCAGGGCCCAGGAGGAGGCATGCAGCCAGAGGTCCTCCTGGGGCTGGAGTAGAGGCTGGACCCACCTGCTTGGCACAGTCCTCATTGCTTCGTCTCAGGCCCTCTTGCAGCTCATCCCGCTCACGGCTGATGCTTTCCAGGTCCTTTTGCAGCTGCCGCCCCTGCCATAGACCTTGGCCTCAGTCTCAACCTTCGCCTCAGGCCTCCCTCCTCACCAGGCCTCTTATGCCTTGCCCTCCTCCCCGCCTTTTTTTTTTTTTTTTTTTTTTTTGGCATCTCAGTGGGTGGCGCCATCATCCTCACAGTTGCTCAAGCCAGAAGCCCAGGAATTGATGCTGATTCTCCTCTTTCCTCCACTCCCCCTGTTTACCCCACCAGCAGGCCCTGCCAGTCTGCCTACAAAGTAGATTCCAAAACCACTTCTCTTCATCTCTGCTGCCATCTCCTGGTCCCAGTCACACCTTCTTCTGAACTATGTCAAGTATCTCACAACTGGCCACCCTGCTTCTCCCGTTGCCCTCTCCCTGCACTACAGCCCATTCCTACAGAGAGGCCCAAGTGGTCTGTTGAAAGCCTAGAGCAAAGCAGGCCTCTCCCTGGTTTAAACCCCTTAGAGGCTTCCCACTATTCCTTGTCTGAAATGCAAACTCCATGGAACTGAGGCTGGCTTCTTGGGGACCCTGCCTTCCTTTCTGATCTCATCTCTCTTCTCCCTCTTGGTGGCCTTCCTGTTCCTCAGACACATCATGGTCTGCCCATCCTCAGGGCCTTTGAACTTGCAGTTCCTCTGCCCCCAGTCTTCAAAGAGTACCTCTTTTTCACCACGCAGGTTAGTCTTGAGCACTGCCATGATCCTATGTTTGTTCTGGGCCTGTCACCCTGTGACACTGACTTCCTCATGTGCCCATGTGCATGTGTGGGTCTGTCTCCCTCTCTAGGAGGAAGTGCCAAGAGGGAGAGAGTTTTCTCTTCACTGTGGAATCCCCAGCTCTAGGTCAGCCTGGGCATAGTAGGCGCTCAGTAAGTGCTGGTGCAGGGAGAGATGGATGCATGCATGCAGTCAGGTACCCCACCCACTCCGCTCACCTCCATTTGCAGCTGCTCCCACTGGGTGTCTGGAACAAGCTGGTAACCAGGAGGGGGCAGGTAGATGCCCTCAGGGACCAGGGTGCCCGTGGACACCAGAGAGGCTGTCTCTTCCTGCTCGGGGCTCAGGCCCTGGCGGCTACGGGGCAGTGAAGTGCTGCTGCCAGTCCCGCCGCCAAGGGAGAAGGAGGAGATGGAGGCGCTGTCATCACAGTTGTGGGCGAAGGCCTCGGCCGCTGCACCCCCATCTCCGCTCAGCTCCTCGAGAGGCTCCAGCGGGGGAGACAGGTCCCGGGACAGAGGCAGCAACTCCGTGGAGCCATGCAGGGGAGGGGAATGCCGGGGACGTCTCTAGGGAAGGGGGTCAGGGAAGAGGCTGGGGGGCCAGGGTCCTGCAACGCCCCTCCTTTTCTCAGTGCCACCTGGCCTCCCCCTTACCTGGATCTCTTGAATCAGCTCCTCCGCCCTCAGCAGTTTCGCCTTCAGCTCCTCTATCTCCTGCTCCATGGGCAGCACAATCTCTCGCAGCTTCTCCGAGTCCTCATGGGCCTGAAGAAGGGGGTGTTGGGTAGCAACCTTCCCTCTCCCGACTTCAGGACCCCTCAGGTGTGTTCAGAGCTTCCTTTCCAAGCACTTGTAATCCTCCCAAGAAGGTTCTGTCCACTCTCATTTTAGAGATAATAAAGGCTCTGGGAGGTCCATGACCTGGCCCAGGTCACGTGGTACGTAAAGGGGTAAGAGCCAGACTATCTTCCTGTTGTCCACCGGCTCGCCATACTTTTCTTCCCCGATATCCTTTTTTTTTCTTTTATCATAGAACTTAACATTTTTAGTTGGACATATAGCCTAAATTCTAGAATACCATCTACATCTCTCAGCTTCTCTGTAACTAGGCATGGCCACGTGACTAAGTCACAGCTGAGATGGAAGCTGGTGTGCCATGTGCAACTTCCAGGACAACTCCTTAAAGGAAGAGGGTGTGCTTTTCTGTACTCCTCCTCCTTCCTGTTGGCCAGGAAGTGGACAGGGCTGGCACTCAAGCAGTCGTATTGGACCCTGAGGCAGTAAGCTCCCTGTGTTTTACCTATGGCAAAACAGCAACGCAAAAGGAGTTTGAAGTGCCTAATGACTTTTAAAACATTTTTATAAGAATTTATTTGAGCCAAACTGAAGACATATCCCAGGGAGCAAGATCTCAAACGCTCTGGAGAAGAGCAGTTTTGCAGCTTCCCTAATGACTTGATTAGCTGCCATTTCAGTCCTGGAAATGTCTACCTCTGGACTTTAAGAAAAATAAAATTCTATCTTATTTAAGCTATTGTTGACTTGGGTTTTCAAACCTCATCCTAACTCAAGTCCTCCCACATTCCCAGTCACCACCGTATTGCTGGCTATTTTTTGGTCTCTTCAAGTTTGGGATCCTGCTGAACACGCACAGCCAACGACCTCTGAACAGCTCCCCTTGGCTGTTACGCAGGCTCCTCCATCCTAGTACAGCCACATCTGAACCAAGTCATGATGCCATTTCTCCTCCCACCAGTGCTAGGTCAGTAAGAATGGCCCTGCTATCCACCCAGCTGTCCAAGGCAAAAACCTGCCAGTTATACATCCTCTTTCAATTCATGCCATGTCTACTTCTAAAATCATTAACAACCTGTGTCAAACGAGTTCAGTCTAACCCTCCCAATCTCTTTTGTGAACCATTGCAAAAGGAGGGTAAGCCTGTGTGGCCCAAACAAAACACTCGGGATCCCATCTGAAGCCCTGGAATCCATGTTCTGTAGACACCCAGGCCAGGGACAGACAATGGCTGAGTGCAGGAGTTGGGCCAGGACTGGAACTGCCCGACTCAAGGCCCGCAGCCCCTTCTGCTGTCCCAGGTGGCTTTGCATTAGTAGAGCCCTCCTTCATCCTCCTGGGGAGTGGCTTCCTGGAAGAACACTCTGAATGCAAGCAGCAGCCTCTGCTGGGTGTGGGCTAGACACCTTCCTTTCCCGGGCTCCTGTTTTGACCTTTGTCTTTCAAACCAGCTGATGGACTCCATCTCCATGAGCATAAAATGAGCTGAGCACCTGCCACACAGGGCTGCTGTGATGATCAAGTGAGGTAACGATGTGGACTTGCTTTGAAAGATGAAGGGTTTGGTAATATCTGCATCCTTCTATTGTTCGTAACAACAGTGATAAAGGAGGTGATTGTCCTGGCTGGTGTGGCTCAGTGGACTGAATGCCAGTCTGTGAACCTAAAAGTTGCCGGTTCGATTCCCAGTCAGGACACATGCCCGGGTTGCAGGCCAGGCCCCCAGCTGGGGGCGTGTGAGAGGCAACCAACAATGTATCTCTCGTACATAGGTGTTTCTCTCCCTCTCTTTCTCCCTCCCTTCCCCTTTCTCTAAAAATAAATAAATACAATCTTAAAAAAATAAAAAATAAAGGAGGTGATACACTATCTTCAGAAAACTTTAGAACCAGGTTGCTTAGATTTTTAAGTCCCAAATCTCTGTTTCATGTGCAAAACCTGGGGAGAATTACTGAACTTCTCTAAGTCTCACCTGATCTGTTAAATGGATCTAATGGACCTTGTTTTCAGGAGAAAGACTGGGAAGTCTGAATCTAATAGGCAGTTAGTGAAGTACCCAGTGCATGAAAGGCATCCTTAAGTGATAGCTCCCTTTCCTCTATATGACTGTTCTTAATTTTGAAGGTAAATGGACCTAACGAAGCCACTAGTAAGTGGCAAGCCAGGACCTTGCTAAGTACAGAGCTAGAATGTGCTACACCTAGAACGATGATTGGGTGCCCTGTTCCCAATGTTCTGGGAGTGGCACACCAATAATCCCTCTGCCCATGGTCATCTGAGGCTGCCTCAAAATCTCCCTAAATCCCAAGGGGTTGGGGGTGGGGTTGGAGAAAGGCTATCACAACCCCAACCTTTTCCATCTGCTTCTCCAAGGAGTCCAGGGGGTGGGCCCGGGAGAGCAGCTGCTTCAGGCGGCCCAGCTCCCGCTCCTTCTCCTCACAGTCCTGCTGCTGCTGCTGCCGTTCCTGCTTCAGAGAAGTGATCTGGGCTTCATAGCTGCTGATGGAGTCTGGCAGGGCAGGAAGGGTGGAGGAGAAGGAAGATCAGTGCGCTGGCCCTACCTGTGGGTGAATAGGGTGCTCTCCAACACTGGCACACTCTGAGTGGCAATTTACCACAGATGAAGACAGTGGACTTTGTGGAGAGATGGCCCTGGTCAATCAGTCAGCCTCTCTCTCTCAGTGTCTTCAGCTGCAAAATGGGGACACTATGACTACCTTACTGGGTTGTTACAGGATCAAAGGACATGACACCTGGAAGGTGTTCAGCCCTCTTCCTGAAGGTATGGTATCTATCCCATATATATATCAATAACAATATACACATATATATCAATTGATATATGTTAATATACATCAATATACACCAATACCAATCAACATCTAATAATAGTAATAAATATTTTTTTATTTGCATGGTTATTTTAATGTGTACTAATATTAGAAGTAAAGGTTCTGTCAAATCTGAACAGTTCAGCTAACAGCCAGATAGCAAAACTTTATCAGGAAAACAAATGAGAAAATGAGAAAAGAGTTTCAGCCATTGTTGAACAAAGCTGGAATGATCCATAATACACAACTGGTCTGTTTATATTTTTCATCATTGTTGTGTACAATTTACCCCTCAGAAGAAAGCCTAACAAATTTTAAGTGCCGCAGGTTTTAAGGATTCTGCAGGGAAAAAAACAATGTCGTTTAGAACTTACAAAAGCTTGTGTATCTAGACTACTGTACTTTTTATTGCATGATATAAACTAAGGCATTGCTTATGTAAGTTTGTAATATGTCCTGTTAAAAAAATAAAATAAAATAAAGGTTCTTCTGCCAGACTGCCTGGATTCAAACCTGCTGTTTTCTAGCTGTATAACCCTGAGCAAGCTATATAACTTCCCTGGGCCTCAGAGCTTCCTCTGAAATGGAGATAGATAACAGTTTGAGATTGTTATGATCGTTATATAATAGAGATTGTTTGAATACTCATACAGCATTTAGCTCAGTGCCTGGCATATAGTATATGTTAGCCATTATTATTACGGTTGTCATGATGATGATTTAGGACAATTTCTCTAATAAGGTCAGGAAATTTCCTTTAAAATAAATGTAAGTAAGTATTTAAAAAGTGGCCCTATTTAAAGAACAAATATCAAGTAGATAACAAGGTAAGTCATAGGAGGAGACAACCATGTCCCGCAGGTCGTATGTGGAAGGGAGGGGTTATGTCAGAGGAAAGGGTATTGGGTGAAATACAGCCCCAGAAGTCTGGAGGGAGGAGCAGCTGTTTGAAAGGGAAATGGCATGGTGGGATGGAAATTTTAGAAAGTTTACTTTGGAAGCCAATGTTAAGGCCCAACTATGGAAGGAGACCTGTGAGAACACTGGGGTAACAATACAGGGGAGTTGTCCAAAGCTTCACTACAGCAGTGGCAGAGGAAGCAGAGGGGTGGGACAGGACTGGGAGCTATTTCAGAGACTTTGGCTTTCAACTAGAGGAGAAGGGAAAAGGAGGAAAAGAAACTAGGGGATCTGGGACAAGGGATGGTGCTGCATCCCAAGTACATACAGAGGATATAAGGGAGGGAAGGAAGTCAGTGCCTGCGTGAGTGTTGGGGTGGCGTGTGGGGTGCAGATGTAGGGGTGCTTGGGGAAGGAAGGAAACCAGAGGGTAAGACTCACAGAGACCAAGCCTAGGGCTGAGTCTGAGTCCCAGAGGCTCAAATGAGGGTGCTTCAGGGAACTGAGAAGTTGCTCATCTTTAGGGTTGATCAGTCATCAGTGAGGGACAAGAAATGACAGGGGGCAAAGAAACAGGTAGAAGCTCAGATTTAAACTTAGCTGGAACTGACAGCTTCTGCTAGCACAGGCCTACCCCTGTGCAAATCAGAAAAAGGCGTCCCTGCCCCCAATAAAAGAAAAGGGTGTCCCTTCCTTTGGCGTAGGCCAGGCCTGGGTTTGGGAGCCCTGCTAACTTACCCCGCAGCTTATCTGTCCCCTTGACCCTTTTCTGGTCATGCACGCCCCTCTATGGGGTTGATGGGGAGTCTGGGAAGAGACCCTGCCTCACCTTTTAGGATGGCCTGCAGGGAAGCCACCTCCTCTTGGCATTGCCGCTGCACTGCAGCCACAGCCTCCGCCTTCGTGCTCTCGCTCACCTCGGCCACAGCCTTCATGGTCTCCATTTCTGCCAGAGCACCTGCCAGCTCAGCCCGAAGTCGGCAGAGCTCCTCTGACTCGGCCTCAGCCTTTGCCCCCTTCTGGGGCTGAGGATCAAGCGCTGTGGGAGACAAGGATGAGCCTCTCTTCCCATCACTCCAGCATCCCCAGTAACCCAGGCCTCAAACCTCGAAAGGTCCGGCAACCTAGTTGTACTGCAGCCGCGGTCCCCGCCCCTTCCCCAGACCTGGCTGGCTCACCTGGCCGGCTCACCTGGCCCGCCTCCTTCTCACCTAGCTCTGCCACGTGTTGCCTACAGCCCCGCCTCTCCCCCCCACGGTTCACCCAATCCCCTTTCCTCTGACAAGACCCCCTCCTTTTCAAAGGCCCCGCCCCAGTCCGCCTGGCCACGCCCCCCACTCACTAGGCTCCACCACTCACCTGGCCCTTCCCCTCGAATCGCCAAGCCACACCCCTCGCCGGTGGCTCCAGACCCCGCCCCTATCTCCAGTTTCCCTTTACAACCCCCCCATCCTCCGGCTGCTGAGGTCGGCCCCGCCTCCGCCTTTGCCGCTCCTCGCGTGCACGGACGCACCCTCACTTACCAGTCCCCGGCCGCCGTCGCAGGCCATCCTCGCCCGCGGCCGCCGGCGCAGCTGCCGCCATCGCCTCCGCGCAAACGGCGGGGTCCCGCACTCCCTGGTGACCGCGCTCACCGCTTCCGGGTCCGCTCGGCTGTTTCCGGATCCGCTCGGCTGTTTCCGGATCAACACGGCTTGAGGCCGAGGCCGGAGTTTGCTGATGGATTGCCGAGCCTCGTCCGAAGATATCCGAGTCGACGCCGGGCCTGGCCCCGCCTGCCGTCGCATTCCTCGCTGGGAGCGCAGTTCGAGAAGGCTGCTAATCCTTCAAGCCCAGAAATTCTTTTCATCTAAGGCTTCCTAGTGTCTCCGTGTGACCTTGGAACCTCTGCTCCAATTATACTTCCTCCGGGACCCCTGCCGCTCAGTCAGAGGGCAAAGCTCAAGCGGTCTCTCCCAAGCCTCGGAGCCGGACCCTTGCTCTGCCCCTGGCCACGCTTCTCCTGGCGCCTGGCTCACTTTACAATTGAGGCCTGGCCCCCCTGCACGTCTGCCCGCATTGAGCGTCCCTCGGGGCCGGGCTGGGTCGGCCCCACTTTTCTGGGGGTCTCAGCCCCCGCGTAGAAGTCAGGAATTTACACATCCCCCACTTTGATATTCAACCATTCACTGCTTCTTGCTAATCCTCCTCCGCTTCCCAGCACCTCTCAAATCCCTCCTCTCCTTCCGCTGCCACTGCCCTAGGTTAAGCTAGTATTTGTGACCTCTCCCTCCAGCAGCTCCCCTTGGACGGGGATAGGAAACTCGAACTTGGGTCCGGAGCCTTGATTTCCTTTCTCTCAAACCCGTTTCTCCCTCTGTAAGGTACATTCCAGGAGCCTGGAAGTATTGTAAAGTCTACCTCCGAAGGACTGAGTGTTCCAGAATGTGTCCTCTTTTCTTCATCTCCGGTGCCAAAACCTAGCCCCAGTCCCAATCATCTCTCTCCTGACCTTCCAAAATGCCTCCGAGTTGTTTCTGCGTGTGGACTTTTGGTTCCTTGGGTTATTCTCAAAGCAACTAGAATCGTCTTGGTAAAACAGATCGTGTCTCATCCCTGCTTAAAATCTAGTTCAATCCAATTTGAAAATGGGGAAAGGACAGGAATAAACTGTCCTGATGTTTAACTTTCACTGATGTCACAGATGGCAAATAGGCACGTGAAAAGATGTTTAACATCATTAGCCATCAGGGAAATGCAAATTAAAACCACAAGGAGATACCACTACACACTTACCAGGATGTCTAAAATAAGAGATTGATAATACCAAGTGCTGGTAAGTATACAGAGAAACTGGGTTTCTCATATATTCCTGATGGGAATATAAAATGGTACAGCCACCCAGGAAAAGAGTTTCTAACAAAACTAAACATGACCTTACTTGAGCACAACAATCTTTACCCCGCTCACGTCTCAGCTCAGAAGTCTCCTCCTCAGTGAGACCTTCCCTGACCACCCTATCCAAAGTAGACTTCCCCAATCATATGTCTGTCATTGGATTACATTAGAGACTTTTCACCATCTGAAATTGTTTATTGGTCAGTTGTTTATTATCTGTCCGTCTTTACCCTTCTGTGGCCCCAAAACTTGAATCAAAGCTCCAACAGATCAAGAACCTTGTCTTTCTTGTCCCCTGCTGTTTCTCCAGCACCTAGCACAGTGCATGAGAATGAATGAATCTGGTGAGTGAACGAACACTTTCCTGACTGCTCTCTCTGGCCTCCCTCCAATTCCCACCACAATGCAACCATGGGGAGTTTTCAGAAAGTGCAAATCGGGCCAGATCAATGTCTGGCTTGTAAATCCCCAGCAGTTTACTGCCTTCAGTACCTTCCTGTCCTCAGGACTCCCTATGTATATCACAGGGTTTCTTGGGAAGGAGGTGATATGATGACTATAAATAAAGCTCCAGTCAACTATCAGGCTTGAGTTTTATCCTGAGGCCCATGGAGCCACTGAAATCTGTTGAGCAGGGGGAACATATGACTAATACTGAGGAAGCTCTCTGAGGAATGTAGGTGGGAAGCAAAAGAGGTAGAAGACAGAAAGCCCACATAAGAGACTGTTGAAATGGTTCTGGTTGGGAAGGGCAGAGTCCAAAAAGAGGAGAAAATTGATCCTAGAAATAGGCTAGAAAATGGACTAGCCTTGCTAATAGTACTTGGAGGGAAGAGAAAAGAAAGTTTTCTTTCACTCTTCCTAACTTCCTTCCTTTGTACAACAAAACTTATCAAGCAACTTCTAGATGTCAGTGAACAAAACAGTAAAGATCCCTGTTGTCAAAGAGGGGACATTCAGAGGCAGGAGGCACCTGAGAAGACTACCTACCAAGCATACTTTGGGATTGGAGAAAATGCTGGGAAGGAAATGAACAGGGTCAGAGAAAGCCTCTAAGAGGAAGTAACGCTTGATCTGAGATGTGAGTGATGAAAAGGAGCTGTTCAGAGGGGCAGAGTGAGGGACAGAGTGGTAGAGGGTTGAAGTGGGAAGTATAGGTGGGGAAGCCTCCCTCAGCCCTTTGGAGGCCATGGTTTGGAGTGTTTCTTTTAGGTAGATGAAAGCCACTGAACTGTTCTAAGCAGGAGACTAATGTGCTCTAGCATGAAGACTGCCTGTGAGGCGGCTTGGAAACTAATGACAAGATTAGAGAGATGATGTTGAATGGAAAGCAAAAAAAAAAAGTCCTGCCTCTACGCACTCTCCATTTCCCAGTGCCTCGTTCTTCACCCTGCCAGCCACCCGAACCGACCAAAGGGAAGTGGAGGCCCTACCAGATGGAGGGTCCCCTGGGGTTTGCCTGAGGCAAACAGGAAGCCACAACCCAGTGAGGCGACTCTGGGAACAAGCAACTGAGAAAGCAGGTCTTCTGGGTACCTGGCCCCTTTCCCTGAGCGACTGCAGCAGTGAAAAACACAGATAGGCATATACATGGCGGTGGAGGGGGGGGGGGCACGGGGGGGGGAGGACAGAGAAGCGCAGAAGAAAAAAAGAGGAGGAGCAGAAGGAGCTGCTTGTGATGGGCGGCTTGTACAGAAGTGGACAGTGGCCCAAGAAGTGTTGCTGGAATGAATAAATGAGGGGTGTGTGTGTGTGTGTGTGTGTGTGTGTGAGAGAGAGAGAGAGAGAGAGAGAGAGAGAGAGAGAGAGAGAAAGGAAATGGATTTAGAGCCTGAGGTTGAAGGAGGGAGCCCCTAAGACTGGATTCACTCATCCAATAAATATTTATTGGGCATCTGCAATGTGCCAAGTACTGTTCTCAGGCACCATACATACAGTGATAGACAAGACAGCCTGTGCTGCAAGGGGCTTACTCTAATGAGTAAACAGAAAGTGAGCAAGTAGACTCAAATAAGATTTCACTGGTGGTAAGTATTGGGGTGAAAATAAGAGTGTAGCAGGGAGGAAGGGAGTTTTGTGAGTCTGGAGAGGCACATGGAGAAGGGGGCCTGAGGCGTGACCACCCCTTCTCCCCTGGGGACTGCCCACCCGCCCCCGCGAACACCCATGGTTCAGTGCCCACCAGGCCCCCACCTGCCCCAGCATCCCCTGCGCGGGGAAGCTGGGTGCTACAGGGAGTCTGGCCACCATGCCACCTCCTCTCCGCCTCTTCTTCCTCCTCTTCCTTACCCCCATGGGAGTCAGGCCCCAGAAATCACAGCTGGTGGAAGCTAAAGGTATGTCCGAAAGGCACAGATAGAAGGAATTGGGGCTGGAAACCTGGGTTCTGGCTGGATGTCCTTGGCCAAGTAACTTACCCTCACTGAGCCTCCATTTTCTTATTGTAAAATTCAGGCCAGGGTTGGAGGGATTCTGAGGGTTCATCCGCTCCCAGCTGGTGTCTCAGTTGGTGGGGTCTGGGGTCATTGGGTTTATAATGCAGTGTGAGGAGTGAGGGACCTAGGGGCTCCGCTCTCCCCACCTTCTCTCTTTCCACAGAGGGAGGCAGTGCTGTGCTGCCGTGCCCCGAGGTCTCCTCAGACGGTCCCCTCAATCAGCTGGCATGGTATCGGGAATGCCAGCCAGCACGTTCATTACTGCTGAGCCCAGGGCCGCCAGGCCCGGGTGTCCTGCTGCTCATCTCCAACATTTCTGACCAGATGGGGGGCTTCTACCTGTGCCAACAGGGGCCCCCTTCCAAGCAGGTCGGGCAGCCTGGCTGGGCAGTCAGCGTGAATGGCAGCGGTGAGGTGTAGGGTGGGGCGGGATGGGGTGCTGGATGAGAAGAGGGAGGCCCAGTATGTACGGAGGAGGCCTGGTGGCTAAAATGGGTCTGCAGGGGAGGGGCGGGGGAGTGCTGGAGGGCCTGAAGATCAAGCAGGAAGCCAGTTGTAGGTGACTCCTAAATTCCTGTGGCTTTGTGACTTTAACACTGAACTGCCCTGTACCTCTCTCAATCTCATTTTTCTCTGAGACACTGTTTCTCTCTGGGTTTTTGTTTCTTTTTTTAAAGATTTTATTTATTTTTATTTTAAAAAAGATTTTATTTATTTATTTATTTCGAGAGGGGAAGGAGGGAAGAAAGAGAGGGAGAGAAACAGCTATGTGCAAGAGAAACACCATTTGGCTGCCTCTTCATGCCCCTAACCGGGAACCTGGCCCACAGTCCAGGCATGTGTCCTGACTGGATATCAGACTAGTGACCATTCATTTTGCAGGATGATGCCCAATCCACTGAGCCACACTGCTCAGGCCTCTAGGTCTTTGTTTATTTTTTAATTTTTAAAAAAAGACTTTATTTTATTTTTATTTTTAGAGAGAGGGGGAGGAGGGAGAGAGGGAAAGAAACACCAATGTGTGGTTGCCTCTCGTATGCCCCCAACTGGGGACCTGGCCTCCAATGCAGGCATGTGCCCTGACTGGGAATTGAACCGGCGACCCTTTGGTTCACAGGTCGGCACTCAATCCACTGAGCCACACCAACCAGGGCTGGATCTTTATTTTTATTTATCTCTGTCTTTCTGAGTCTCTGTATCTCTCTGTCTCTCCTGGATGTCTCTGTATATTGTTCTGGGTCTCTTCCCAGGGGAGCTGTTCCGATGGAACACTTCAAATATAGATGACCCACGCTGTGACATGGGGAATAGGTCCTCAGAGGACCCCAGGCCCTCTTCTGGTCACCTCCCAAGCTCCCAGCTGTATGTGCGGACCAAAGACCACCCTGAGATTTGGGAGACAGACCCTGCATGTGTCCCACCTAAGGGCAGCTCAGACCAGGGCCTCGACCAAGGTAAGGATCTAGGAAAATGCCAGAAAGTGGGAGGTCTAGGGATAGGGGATGGTGTTGGGTTTGTGGGGGAGGAGACTCCAAGGCCTATACCTTCCTAGCCTTGGTTCTTCTTGCTCCAGACCTCATGGTTGAGCCTGGCTCCACTCTCTGTCTGCCCTGTGAGGTGCATTCTGCCTCCATGGCCAGAGGACCCATCTCCTGGATCTACGTGCACCCCAAGAAGCCTAACATCTCATTACTGACCCTAAACCTGAGCGAGGATGCTCCAGTCAGAAAGATGTGGGTCTTGGACACCCTCAGGGGAGGGGCTATTCTGTGGCTGCAACGGGCCACAGCTAGAGATGCTGGCAAATATTATTGTTACCACGGCAACACGACCATTGAAATGCAGCTGAAGGTTACCCCCCTGTCAGGTAGGGTTTCTCCCGGTTATGGGGCCTGTGTGTAGAGCTGTTGGGAAGAACTGGAAACCAGCCAACCTTGGCTGCCCTTGGCTAGTCCTTGCCCTTTAGCCTGAACCTCAGCTGCCACTTCTGTCCTCCTTCCTTCCAAGATACTACTTTTCTGGGTCTTCTCCTACCACCGGTAGCTCCTTCACACCAGCTTTGGTAGTCTTTCCTCCTCTACTCCTCACCATTGGAGTCCTGAGCCCTCTTCTTATCACTGTCTACACTCTCTCATTCTGGTCTACACACCCTTCCTATTTGACCTCCTTTACTCTTCTGGCTCCTTGGGCTGCCATGCCTTGGTGACTGGATTCTAGGCTCCAAACTCTCACACCCACCCATCTCCTGGAATTGCCATTTGATGTCCCGTGGACACTGCAGGCTCAACATACACACACAAAACATCAAACTCAACATCTTCCCTAAGCATGGTCTTCTAGGCGACCCTGTGTACATGAAGGACACTACCACCTGACCATGTGTCAAAGCCAGGAACCTGGGCATTCTTCTTGTGCCTTACCTTATCCATCAAATTTGTCACCATGTTCTGGCCCATCGTCTCCCCTAATACAACCCTACCATGCTACCCTAAACATAGTTCTCAAACTCAACCTCCATTTTCACTCCAAACTTACCTCAGCACCTTGCTACATCCCACCTTCAAATTTGTGAAATTGATTCTGCACTTCGTTTTGACCAGGACTGTTCTTAACTGCGGCAGGAAGCTGATCATCATGCTCACCTTAACCCTAACATTGCTTCTGACTATAGTCATGGTTTTTCATGGTTTGCTTGATACTGCTCCAGGCCCTGTGCCAGGCTCTGAGACACAGTCCCTGACCTCAGAGGGAAGGAGGAGAGCCCTCCTTGTAGCTTGGGACTTCCAGGATCTATGTCCTGCCCCTGTCTGCTAGATTTATGGCCCTTCTGAGGTCTTGAGGCTGAGAGTTAAGATGCCAGCTCTGGTCCTTGTCTCATAGTTCCTTCCCCCTAGCAGTACGGCATTTGCTGCTGGAGGCTGGTGGCTGGAGAATCCCTGTTACAACTTTAGTTTATATGATCTTCTGCATGAGTTTCCTTGTGGGCTTTCTTTATCTTCGAAGAGGTGAGTAATGTCCTCCAAAGGGTCTGCCGAACTGTAACGCCATCTCCCTCAGGAAGAGTCCACAACTGCCTCTCTCTCCTCCCATACCTCCCCACAGACCTCACAATCCTGCCTCCCCTTCTCTAAATGCCCTCCGAACTTTCATAGCCCCTTGGAATTTAAACTTCCACCTCTTCCATTAACCCAAGCGACCTCCCCAGCACCCCCAAAATCTTCACCCGGCCAAGGAGCTCCTCCTCTGATCACTCCCATTAACTCCCACCAGCTCTGGTCCTGAGGAGGAAAAGAGACCGAATGACTGATCCCGCCAGAAGGTAACGATGCAAATGCCCCCTCATTATCCAATTCCTGCACTTTTCAGCTGATGCTTTGCACTTACTGTTTTCTCTGCTGAGGGTGTTTTTTTTCTCCATCTCTGCGCTTGAAATACCATCTTGCTTTCAAAGCCTAGCTCCAAAGCTACCTCCTCTGTGAAGACCTCCATGGAGTGATCCCAGAGCCCTCTGTTGGCTGTCCCAGAACAAAGGAGCTAATTAGAAGTCACCACATTTCAATCTCTGAGGGCATGGCTTGATTTCTGAACTTGTCTCCCAGTCCCCTCCAGGCCTGGCCTCACACTGCAACTTCCCTCCTTCCTCCAGGTTCTTCAAAGTGACGCCTCCCCCGGGAAACGGGGCCAACCAGTACGGGAACGTGCTCTCCCTTTCCACACCCACCGTGGGCGCGGGTAGGAGGCCCGGCCAGGTCTCTGACCCAGAGCTAGAACCCCACCCATTTGTCTCACCCCTGCGACCTCCGGAGTCACAGGTCTTCTCGAGCTCGGAGCTCAGCCTTCGGAAAAGAGGCCTCCTGGACGTGCACACTCCCGCTCCGATTTGAGCCCCGCCCCAAGGACCATAGCCCGCCCCCAGGACTCGGGACCCGAAGTCTTCCTCTCCGAGCGAGACTTCGCACCTGAGGCCACGCCCCTAGATTTAGATCCCGAGTCCCTAGACTCGCTGGTCTCCCGCCTATCCTGAAGCACCCTGCCCCATCGCTCTGCCACGGAGACCCTTAGCTCTGACCGCCCCCATCTCTTCTCACTCGCTCCCCACAACGCTCCTCGCGCCAGGACGCTCCCTGCAGTGGGCGGCAGGTTTGGGGGCCGCCGTCCAGTCCCAAGGAAACCCGTGCAGAGACGTTCGGGGGCTGGTGCCTCGGGGTCCCGGAGCCAGGCAGAAGCTGGTGAAGACAGAGTGGTCTTTACTCATATAGGGGGTGTTGGAGCGGTCTATCTGTGACAGGGGTAGTTGTCCGGGGCCTGGAGGAAGCCGTGACTCAGATCCCACCCCTATCCCCAAATCCCAGGCCCAGAAGAAGGGGAGGCTTATGAGGAGCCGGACAGTGAGGACGGCTCGGAGTTCTACGAAAATGACTCCAACCTTGGGCAGGATCAGCTCTCCCGGGGTAAGACTGCCCTCCCCCAGGACTCCCCCACCTTCTTAGCGGGCGGGGGTGGGGGAGGCTGTAGATCCTCGCTGGACCCCCCTCCGTCTCCACCAGATGGCAGCGGCTATGAGAACCCTGACGACGAGGTCTTGGGTCCTGAGGATGAAGACTCCTTCTCCAATGGTAATTTGAGGTCCTTGTGGAACCACCCAGACTTGGGAGGACCCATAACGCTGTGGAGCCCGTACAGGGCAGGAGTGGCCCCTGGAGTTCTCTCTCTCTCTCTCTACCTCTCTCTTTTTTTTCCTGTAGCATCTGAATCATATGAGAATGAGGATGAAGAGGTGGCCCAGCCAGTCGCTAAGACAAAAGGTGTGTGTATGAAGATGGCCACCTTCCTGAGGAGTGTGAATGGTGGTGGTAGTGATGGTGTGTGTGACCTGGAGGCCAGGAGGAATAGTGACTCCCCTTTTCCTTCTTCAGACTTCCTGAGCCCCCATGGGACAGCCTGGGACCCCAGCCGGGAGGCAACATCCCTTGGTGAGAAATGTTTGGGACCTGCCAAACTTCCCAGATTGGGTTGACCTGGCCTCAGGTCTAACTCCAGGCAGAACCTTGACCTTGACTTTGACCCTGAACCCAAGCCCAACCCTGACCTTATATTTGACTCTTACCTCTAATCTCAAAACCTACCCCAGCCCTAATCCTGATTCCAGTATCTACCCTATCCCTAACCGTGAACGTCACCCCTGACCCCAATTCCATTCCAGCCTCAACTTTGACCTCCACCTCACCCCGGCCCCAATGCAGACCTCAGCTTTGAACCCAGCTCTCTCTACCGCCAACCTCCTCATGACTCTTTGACTCCTTCCAAGTCTGTTCTTGACTATTCCTCTGACCATGACCATAATCTAACCCATACCCGACTGACCCTACAATTAACAAGGGCCCCGAACCTTATGCCGACCCTAGTACAACATGGGTCAATCCTTCCACCTCTCCCTGCGCCTCAGACTCCCTCCATATCTTCCTTCCCTGAGATGGGAAGGCCGCACTTCCCTTCCCTGAACACCCAGCACAGCTCCCAAGCCTCCAACTCTCCATCACCTGCCCACACAGGGTCCCAGTCCTATGAGGATATGAGAGGGATCCTGTATGCAGCGCCCCAGCTCCGCTCCTTTCGGGCCCAGCCTAGTCCCAGTCATGAGGAAGGTGGGTGCTCCCGCTATTACCCATTGTCCTCTGAGGCTGACCCTCCGCCAGGGCTACCTTCAGCTCTAACTATGTTTCACTCCTTCCTGGCCGTAACCAGATGCAGATTCTTATGAGAACATGGACAATCCTGATGGTCCAGAACCAACATGGGGAGGAGGGGGCCACATGGGGACCTGGAGCACCCGGTGATTCCCTTCAGGTGGGCTGGGAACTTCTCCCTGCAGCAGGGGGAGAGGAAGGGAGAGGATGAGCAGGGATGGAAGTGGGGTTCTGGCTCTCAGGGAGGGAGAGGAGAAAGGGTTTCCAAGGACTGGTGGGCAGGGGGAGGGCTCCTAGACTCCTCCCCATCACAGTTTCTTCTACATAGCCTGGGCCTCCTCGGGCTCCTGAGATCCACACCTGACTGAAATTTGGTGACCCAAAGCAGATGATGTCAGCCTCAAGCGACGTTGCTCAGAATGTGTATATCTGTGTGTGTTTGTGTACGCAAGTGAAACTCCCAGTTCCCTTTGCACTGCCCAAATAAACTCCATGAGTTCTTGCAATCCTGTGATGTGGTGCCCTTGTGAGGGAGGAGAAGGGAAGGTGAGGATGGTTGTACTCCCACCCTCTCTTGAATCCAGTGGAGGAGGGAGAGCTGCATCCTGGGTACAACCAGACCTTTTCCTTCCTGTGGCTCGGCCTGCTCTCATGTCCCCTACTTGCCTGTCATTCCTACCATCCAGTTTTTCAACCTCTGTTCATTCAGCAGTTGTATTCTGGATGTGCAGTGAAAAGGAAGCAATCCAGGAATTGGCAGTCATCACTGACGTTTATTGAATACCTACTATATTCTAACATCCATTAACTTATTTAATAACCTTTCCAATAATCTCACAAGGTTATTAAGCACTTACATGCCAGGGTTGTGTCAAAGTATTTTATGTATGTATTATGCATATGTGTGTTTATGTATATTAGCCAACTATATCTTCACAGACATCCCTATTTCAACATGAGGAGACTGAGACAGAGAAGCTAAATAACATGCCCAAGACTTGCCTAGTTAGTAAGTGCTGGGGTCTGGACTCGATCTCTGACAGTCTAATTCTAAAGCCTGTACTCAGTCTTGACACTCTCCCTTCCTAGGTGCAATCCTGCAGATGGAAAACCAAGTGTCATAGTCCCAACTAACATGTCTAAGATCACACAACTAGCACTTCACAGAGCTGGATCTGAATCCAGAAATCTGGCTGCAGTTGTAGCCACTGTGCCTACCACCTGATCAACTGCCTACTTCTGATACAAACCGTGAACACAAGGACTTTCAGAACTAAAGGTCTGCAGGCCCTGAAACCATTATGTAGCAAGCTCCACCACATCCAGATTCTTGTCTCAGGCAAAGGCAGAATCAGTCAGTGCTTTCCTGTTGTCTCCTGCCTGGTCTTCCCAGCTCCAGTGCCCTCCTGGAGCTGGGAAGCCCCAGGACTGGCATCTGATACCGAGTCCCCCTTCTGCTTAGGAAGTGTCAATGTCTTTGCAAAACTCTAGGCTTTCTCACTATCTACACTTTTATTTCTAGAATTTATTTTCCTAATGCGCGAGTTCTTTCTTCCTAATATCCTATTTTTGTTTTAGAGACTCTACTCCTTATCTCTAAACCTTTAAAACTTACTTTATTTATGACCCTTTAAAACTTACTTTAACACCATTATTATATGTCAGGCATTGTTCTAAGAAGTGCTTTACAGGTAGCATCTCAGTTTATCTTTATAATCTCCTATGAAGAAGGTACTCTAAAATTATTGTTAATTTACAACTGACAAGACGGAGGCACGGAGAAATTAATTAATTGCTAACTGACCTTAGGCAACATACCTAAACTCAGTGACCCTCAGTTTTCCCAATTATAAAATAGCATTAGGGAAGAGGCATGCTGTTGGTTACTACTATGTGTACAGTGGGTGAACTCTCCTATGGCGATGTTACCAAGGAAGGTTTCTTTGACTTCTTTGTGTTTCTCCTGCCTGCAGGAGTCCCTTGAGTTACCTAGGCCCCACTGCTGCCCCCTGGGGCTAGTTTGCTTTGGCTTATACTACAGTCTTACAGGCTACACAGGTTTCTGACTATTTTATTCATGAGTTTCTCAGCAGGTTTTTGCACCTGAGGCTTGGTCTGAATCCAAGTTCATACTTTGGTGGTCCTTGGGATTCTGATTTTCTGCTGTGACTTTTTCTATCCACTGCCTATTGGGTGGTTTGCTTCCATATTACACCTCAAGGCATCCAGGTGGATTTTTTCTTTCCTCTGTGCCCAGAAGAGACAGCCCTTCCTCAGCCCCCAGCGTTGTGCAGTGCACTCAGTTGCAGCTCTCTGCTGGTCCCAGGGCTTCCACCTTGACCTCTGTCCCCATGTGGGTGTTAAAACTCCAGTCCTAGATATCCCAGCTTCCCTGTGCGTTCCCTGTGGGTTTAGCCCACAGAACCTTTGCCTGCGGGCTGCTTGACTTCAGTCCTCTCTCACTGTTGCAGCTTCGCTTTCTTTCTTTATTTTTAGCGTCGGGAAGATCCTGTCCTGCTTCTGAGCTCAGGTATCTTTAAAAAGAAAGCAAGAAAGCAATACTCCTTGCTATATTTTGTGTAGGGTGTGTTTGGAATGTGGGTGGTGGCATATGAACCTCCAGCATTTCCTTGGGCTTCCGTCTTGGCAAAAAGTGAAAAATAAAAATAAAAATAAAAATATCAAGCTCAGCATCCACAGCCCCACCTTACCTTTCAGCTAAAATAAACTCTCCCTATTGCCCTAATCCCTGCGATTCCCCATTACCTTTCATCCAGGCTGCTTTATTTGTTTAGGTTTCCTGCCTGAGCCTGAAGCATTTGAGCATGTGATTCCTGGTGAAAGCGTGCTGCCTTCTTGAGAGTGAACCCTTGTCTGAGTCTCCTCTGTGTCTCTGGTGCCCAGCCAGGGGATGGCAAAGATCAGTAGCTCAGGAAGTGAGTGGGAAAGGAGGAGTGAATGGAGGGAAGTCCTGAGACTCAGGGTGCAGAGGATGGAGACACTCTTGGGGGCTCTGCCACCCAGGGAAGTCTCAGGGACAGTTGAGGAACAGAGGTGTGCCCACTCCAGTCCAATGTTCTAGAATCACACTATTTGAGTTTGAATGCCCTTTCTAGCTGCGTGACTCAAGCTCTTTGTGCTGCAGGTCCTCGTTTGTAAAGTAGGGATAATAAGTATAGTTACCTTAATGAGTCTTAGATGTAACGCATGTGACAGTGGCATAGTAACCACTGAAACATTCATCATTATTATCGTTATTATTATTAGGCCTTTATTAAGGGCCTACTGTGTGCCAGGAGCCAGAGGGCTCCCAGACCATTTGGATTGGGCCTTCCTTCTAGGCAGGCCTTTACCCAGGAGGCAGCCACATTCCAGAGCTTCTCAACTTCCCACTCTGTGTAAGACCTGGTTTTATGCCCAGGTCTGGACCACTTACGGCCCTTGAGCAAGGTTTAGGGAGGAGACTTGAGGGAAGTTTCAGGCCCTTACAGCCACGCCCTTCTTCCCTAGCATGCAGTGGCCTCGCAGGTAGGCCCAAGGCTGGCAGAAGGGCTTTTGGTACAATCTCTATGCTTCCAGCCTGGCTATAAAGAGTGGCTGAAGATTTCCTGGGAGTCGGAGGTCCTTGGCGTCCCCTCTGCCAGAGCCTAGGAACCTCTGTTCCCTGGGAAATAGCCCTGTCTACTGGGGATGTGCTCCTCTAGTCTTGGCCTGGGCAAATCTGCATGGAGGATTTGAGATGTGGGCTGACTGTATTAGGGTTTATGTGTGGGAGATAATCAGTGTAGCAGAGAAGAGGGATGGGATGGGATGTGGATGGTGGTCTAGATGCTGTATGGGATGGATGTTTGAAGTACATGTTATATGAACGTTATGTGTGTGAGAAGCAAGTAGCATTGAGTGTACGCTGTGGGTATAAGTGAGTATCACTTATAAAGTATGGTGTGAGATGTCAGAGGTCATGCAGTTGGAGGTTGATGCTGGAGATGTGAAGTATAGAAGGAGTGTGTCTGCTGTGTTTGGGTACATGCTGTGCAGGAATTGTGAATAAGGTATACATGTGGAGGATATGTAGCCTCTGAGGTGTGCAGTGTTGGTGAGTGTCGGGAAATACAATGAGAAAACAAAATCTTCTCCTAACCCAGAAAACCTCTCCATAAAGGTACCGTATTCTGCTGTGTATAATGTGCACTCTTTTTTGCCTATGTTTTTGAGGGAAAAATAAAGATGCACGTTACATGGGTAGTTCTAATTTTGTATCTATATAAATGTTTTTATTTTTTTTCTTTATGCTTATGCTTTAAAAGTGTAACTCTAGGAAGCAATAATGATATCCATATGCAAAATAATAGTCTGGAATACGATAATCGGTTTTGTGTCTAAGCATAAATAAATAAATAATTGAATTAAAAAATTAAAACGAAAGATTTTTTTTCCTTGAAAGTTGGGGCCAAAAACGTGGGTGCGCATTATACATGGCAAAATATGGTAGTAGAGACAGAAAACATTTTTAAAAATTAAATAAGCATTAAACCAAAATACGATGCATATCACAGGCAATCCACTAGGAGATTGCAAAGGTAAAAAGAAATCTCACCCTTTTACATAGCCAAACAGGTACAACACATTATCGGGTTTTCAAGATACATTTTCAAAACCCTTATCTTGTTTTCCAGATAAATAAAGACTACACGTAAAGTATGAAGACTTCACAACACCTTTAATCACACATAGTTCATCCTAACTTTATAACAGTAATTGGCTTTTATGGTAGGAGGGGGAGAAACAAACTTCTTACATCGGAAAGTAGTTTTGTATATTGCAGCAAGGTTTTGACCAGCCAGGCAGTTAGTTATTCTTCCCCTGAGAGACAGGTACCTCCCTGGATGTATGCGTTTCAAAAAGATGGCTCTCCGTTCTGGAGTTCCCGGGTCATGGGACTGGCAAGAGGCTTATTTAGCCATTATAATATACATACATTTGAAAATTGTGACATTGCGTGGAATTAGCTCAGATCACGGTTGGGAGAAACACTAACGGGGATATGGTTAAGTGTAGGGCCTAATTCCAAAATTTCTTTTTTTTTCCCTTCTCCGAAACCTGTAGAGAATTTTTATGAGTTTGAGCCAAACTGACCACATATGCCGGGTGGGAAATGGGATGGGAGTGGGGGTCGGGCGGGGGATGGGAGGACGGGGCAAGATCTCAAACGCACTCCAACTTGCAAGATTTCTAAAAGCAATTTCCAGTCCACCTTCTCCCTCCCCTTAGGCTTGAGGACTACAATTCCCAGATTGCCCGGCTCCTCCACCCAACAGGAAACCGGTCTCTCCAATGGGCGGGGCTGGGAGAAGGCCGGTCTAAGTGAGGCAGTCCAGCCAATGGGTGATCCCCGACGAGTTGAAACCCACGCTGATTGCCCCCAGGCTCACTGGAATCTTTGGCGCCTTGGTTTTAGTGGTGGGTGTGTGATGAGCAAGTGAAACGACCAATGAAAAGGCGGGGAGGTGGCTACAGAGAGTGTGGGCGGGGAGGAGTGCTGACTAGCAGACGGTTTCGCGAATGAAGGGCGGGAGTCTCGGGAGGGGGCCTGGTGAATAACCTAGAGGCGGGCGACTTTGGCAGTCCGGTGTGTGCGATGGCGGAGCCGGTGAGGAAACGGGGTCGATGGGCCCGAAGAGGCTGTGTCGGCCGAGGGACTCGGGGGGCCCGGGGCGGCCAGGGCCTGCGGTCTGGCGCCCAGCGCTCTCCAGCCCGGAGCTCCGAGGATTCGGTACTTGTGGACTTGGTCAGCGACAGTGATGAGGAAATCCGGGAGGTTTCAACAACGCACGGCGCAGCGGACCCAGTCGAGGTCCCGCTCCCAGAGCCTCCGGTGCCGGCCGCGACTCGGGACGACAGCGACAGTGACAGCGAAGGGGCGGACGCAAGGCCGGCTGGAGCCCCTCCGGCCCTGGTCAGGCGGCGGCGGCGGCTACTGCTGGATCCGGGGGAGGCACCGGTGGTTCCGGTGTACTCCGGGAAGGTGTAGCCAGGTTCCCGGGAGGGCTTGCGCGGAAGGGCTGGCTAAGAAGTACCGAGGATAGCGTTTTAGGGTTGGTCTGGGGAGGACCAGCCTAAACAGGAACTAGGGCCTTGGAGGCAGAGAGATGCAGGGTTCTTGGGGTTTCTGCAGACTGGGGAGATGGAGTTTGAAGTGTGTTGGCAGTTTGGGATTCTCTTCGGGGGCATAGAGAGGCTGTGGGGCTGGTATCCCTGAGGACTCAGAGGCTCTGGGAGGGACCGGAGTTTGCGGCATGTTCGGTTTTGAGGTTGGGGCCCATTGCTAAGGATACGGGAGGCTAGGATATTGGAGACTGGGGGACACGGAAGTCCAGAGAGGACCGGGGGTTCCAGGAGGCTGGGGTTCCCGGGTAGTAGGGTGAGCTAGGGGGCTGGGACTCCCTAGGATTCTAAGACAGCAGGGTGGGTAGCAACCTAGTAAAAAAGTAGAACCGAGCCTGTATCCTCACAGTGCCTTTGGAAAAGGGGGTGTAGGAGTAAGGGCTCTCCAGTTTGGGATCCTGGGAAGCGGGTCTCCTGAGTCCTGGTAGAAAGCTGTGGATCTTTATCCTTAGGGAGAACTGGGGAGCTGGAGGAAGTCTGGATATGAGGGAAGAATTATTCCGTTTTCTCTTTCAGTGGAGGGAGGGCTTGGACTGATCCACTTTTCTCTTTGCAGGTGAAGAGCAGCCTCCACCTTATCCCTGATCACCTGTCCCTCCTGAAGCTCTGTCTCCCAGGGACTGAGGAAGGTAAGGTAGGACTTCCAGGAAGAGATGCCCAGCGCTGGCCTCCCTGAGGAGACTCCGGGGAGTGTAACATCCCTGCCGTTAGCTGTTGCCTGAGGCTCAGAGGAAGGTGTAGGAGAGGTGACTCCTACATCCTAACCAGAAAAAAACGCTCCACTCCTAAAAGGAGCTGAATTGTTAATCAGAAGACAGAGGAAGTACTGTCAAACCATCCTTTTCCCAACTCTAATGGGCATAAGAGTGTGCTACTATATAGATTTCCAGACCCCTTCCCTGGAGATTCTGATTCCATAATCCTGCGGACAAAGGGAAGGGAGGTGTTGAGACTCTGTAACATCTTGTTACATCTGCAACAATTCCCTTGGGAACACCCTGGAGCCAACAGGGTGTTCTTTGAGTCTTATCAGGGCTACCCAGCTTTTGTCCTTTCCCAGTAATGTGATTTTTGCAACGCATCCAAGGACAGTGACTATGAATCAAGTTTAGTAAGGAAGTGATCCAGTGGGTAAATGCAGACCTTGGACCAAGACTTCTGTATCATGAGGGAGTATTTATTATCTTTGTTTTGTTTACACAGTATTTATTTTTATGGTTAATGATGGTCTCTTGTTGGTGGCAAGCAAATAGAAAAGAGCCTCTATATTCTAGAATAATACCTGGTTTCTGATCATTTCACAGTGCACACAAATACTGAATTATTATGCTGTAGACCTGAAACTAATATAATGTTATATATCACCTATACCTTAATAAAACGGAAAAATTACCTAGTTTCCCCTTATAAATAGGAATTAGTGTATTTTGCCATGTATAATGCAGCCCTGTGTATACTGAGCGCCACATTTTTGGCTCAAACTTTCAGGAAAAAATTCCTTTGTTTTAATTTTTTAATTCGATTATTATATTAAAGGAAAAAAAGGTATTCTGTATTTCAGGGTAGTATTTTGCATATGGATATCGTTATTGCTATCTAGATTTATACTTTTAACGCATAAGCATAAATAAGAGAATTAAAAACACATAGATATGGAATTAGTACTACCCATGTATAATGTGCATCCTTATTTTTCCCTCAAAAATTTGGGCAAAAAAGTGCACATTTTACACAGCAAAATACAGTAAGCGATTTAAAGAAAGGTACTGCCCTGACTGGTGTGGCTCAGTTGGCTGGGCATTGTTCTGCAAAGCAGAAGGTCACCAGTTCCATTCCCGGTCAGGGCACAGGCCTGGATTGCAGGTTTGATCCTCGGTTGGGGCGCTGACAAGAGGCAACCTATCGATGTTTCTCTCCCTTTCTTTTTCCCTCCCTTCCCCTCTAAAAATAAATAATTTTTCTTAAAAAGGAAGATACTAAATAACAATGCAGAGATATGGCCAAATGTGATAATGACACTCACGTGGATGAAATTTGAGAAACATGGGCTTAGAGGATCTATATTACTTTTATCTTTACCTCATTCTCTCCTTGCCCCTGTGCCCCACTTACACATTCTCTCTCTGTGCCCACCAAATTGAGTGCAGTAAGAAAATGAAAACATTTTTAAAAAATCGTACTTTGACAGTATGTTTTAATGTACGTTTTATAGCATACTAGTACATAACTAGTACATAATAATGTACTAGTGCATAATACGAATAGTATATTGTAGTATGAAGTAGTATAATAATACTAGGTAAATATATTTTTTCTGGGTTGTATGCTTTGTATTTTTTATTTGTGGGATACATGTAATCACAAAAGTGAGAACACTGCGTTAGTTGGAGTGGGCCTCTTTTTGATTGTCCACACTTGTCATACTGTCTCGTGCCTTATGTCTTATGCACGAGGCTCAGACACTCTCCTGCTCTAATCTTTCAGACTCTGGCTCATGCATTTGTCTGAGTTAGGCATTTCCTTTTTGACTCACGTCCCTTCAGCTCTTCCCCAGTATTATGATGTGGTCCTGTGTGTCTAGGGTCCCCTCAGTCTCCTCCTTTCTGAGGACCTACTGAAGCCCATGCATGACTTGCGTCACCTCCCCTTGGCCTCCTGCTGCCCTCTCTTGGCTAACCCTTTACACTTTTTTCTCTGTGCCCAGAGGGGGATGTGGCCGATTCCAGCAGTCCCCATGCTGAGGATCCCCCGGTTCCAGATTCTCCCTGGAAGAAGAAGCTGAGGAATAAGGCTGAAGAAAGAAATAAGAAAAAGAAGGTGTCTCCGTGAGTGATGCTGGGGCACTGAGGCCCTAGAAGCAGAAAAGGAATTGGACGGGTAGGCTGAGGCTGGCAGGGCCCTTGGGTGGTTCTTGAAGGAATAATAAATGGAGTCGTGAGGCTCAGGTGAGGAATGAAGCTCTTGGGAGAAGAGGTGGCCCACGTGGGAGGAGGACAGTGGACCTTTCAGGACCGCCCATGGGAGAGGAAGTGTTTCTTCTGGGTGCCCGAGACGGCAGTATCACAGGGGTGAAGGGTGTGGCTCTGGAGATCACCCTTGCGGTGCGAATCTAAGCAGCTGTCTCTTAATTATCCTCTCTGCTGTACTTTCCTCTTTTGTAAAATGAGGATAATAGTGGTACCTGTGTCAGAATTTTTGAGTAGATTAAGAGTTAATACTTGGCATATAGTAAGTGCTTGGTGTTAGCAGACGCATTCCTTTGCCAAATGACTTACCTAAAAAGTCAGGCATTTTCTTCCCTGTAAGAATGATGCTCAGGCCTCCCCTGTCCTTTCCTCTCTTTGCCTTCCAATAACATGGATGTTACTGGAAGGTGTCCCCTCTTGATTCTCCAGCTCGCCCTCTGTTCCCAGGGGTCCACCGCCCACTAAGAGAGGCATGGGACTGGGGTTTCTCCTCTTCCTCCATCTTGCCTTTTTCTTCTCTCTGCAGGGCTCAGGACACCTCCCCTTTGCCCCCACCTCTGCCAAGGACCAAAAGCAGAAAACATACTCGGGCACTCCAGAAGTTAAGGTGACAGGGGCAGGAGGCTGTGGCTGGGGTGGAGGGGGTCAGTGTGGAGGTGTCCCACCCCAGCCGACGCAGAGTCCTTTCTGCACCCCAGGGAGGTGAACAAGCGCCTCCAGGATCTCCGTTCCTGCCTGAGTCCCAAACAGCGTCAAGGTCAGGACCACCTGAGCCAAGATGATGAGGTGGTCCTTTTGGAGGGGCCCATCCTCCCAAGGAGCCCCCGACTCTTCCCGCTCAAAATTCGGTGCCGTGCCGACGTGATCAGATTGCCTGTCAGAATGGTAAGTGCCTGAAGGACCTGTGGGAGAAGGGTCCCAGGCGCTGCCTGCGGAGAGCCTGGCTGTGGTGTCCAGCAAAGGGACTGTCTCTTTCTTTGCCCATCCTGCTCTCTGGCTCTGCCCAGCTCCCTTTCAGGCCCCCATACTTCTCAGGCCTCATGCCTTTGTGCTCAGTATTTCCTTTGTCCGGATTGTCTTCTTTACTCTTGCCCCTCTTGCTGGCACATTTTTCCACCCACTTTCCAGCCACTTAGGCATCCTAAGAGGCTTTGCTTGGTAGGCCCCTCCCCAGGGTAGGTCCCCCTCTTTCCTTCCCTGAGACCCTGTGCTTCCCTCTTACTTAATGCTCTTAATGTGCTTAATGCTCTTATTGCATTAAACGCACAGATGTTTCTCAGTCATCCTGAGCTCCCTCACCTTCCTAGTAAAAACTATTATTTTTGTAGGGACGACTCCATCCAGAAATAAGAATGATAATAGAAAAGAGCTGTAACCATGCATTGGCAAGCAACTAAGCAAGAGGTTGCAAACTGGCAGCTCATGGCCTTATTAACAGAGCATCTTCATTTTTGCCCTGTAGAGTGCTTTTATTTATTTATTTATTTAAAAAAGATTTTTAGAGAGAGGGGACAGGAGGAAGAGAGGGAAAAAAAATATCAATGTGTGGTTTCCTCTCCTATGCCCCCAACTGGGGACCTGGCCTGCAACTCAGGCATGTGCCCTGACTGGGAATCGAACCGGTGACCCTTTGGTTCATAGGCTGGCTCTCAAGCCACCAAGCCACACCAGCCGGGGCTGCCCTGTAGAGTGCTTTTAAAACATAGGATTTTATTGCCAGCCTTTACATTGGGTGATTTCACTAGATTCCTTCTAGTTTGGCTTCTCTTAAATATAGATGTAGTCACACTGGCCAAATTCTCACACGGTACCAATCAGTTGGAACTGTGGAACAGCTAGACTGTCTAGGTGGGGCATGTGAGAGTCCCCACCAGTCCCTTTTCCCCTCCTAACCCATGGTTGCTTCATTTCTTTGTGTTACTTGCCTGAACCCCTTATTGACATGATTGTACTCTGTATTTTCCCAGGTAAATATGATGAAACTCAAAGCTAAGGAGCTCAGTGGGTAGCAAAAACCATAAACTTGTTTGGAGGGGTGGGGTGGGATGGGGCACATCAAGGCAGGAAGGCCTCCTTTGCTTCTTATTTCCCTCCCCAGTCGGAGCCCCTACAGAGTGTGGTGGACCACATGGCCACCCATCTTGGGGTGTCCCCAAGCAGGATCCTCTTGCTCTTTGGAGAGACAGAGCTGTCCCCTACCGCCACTCCCAGGACCCTAAAGCTTGGAGTGGCTGACATCATTGGTGAGAGGAAGGCAGGGAGGTGGAGCCTTGAGAAGGCTTTTGCCACAGGGAGGGGAAAAGAGGAAAGGCCCTGCTAGGGCCCTGCTTCCAACCCGTGCTGAGGCCTGGCATCCTGATCCCACAGACTGTGTGGTGCTAGCAAGTTCTCCAGAGGCCGCAGAGACATCCCATCTGCTGCAGCTGCGGGTGCAGGGGAAGGAGAAACACCAGACGCTGGAAGTCACGCTGTCTCGAGTGAGTGGAAAAGATGGCTCTCCATGTCCCTTATCCTTTCCTCTGCCATCTCTCTAGTCAGTTAACTGAGGAGAGATTCCTTCGAGTCCTGATTTGCCAGAGACTGCCCTCCCTGCTCTTGGGTTCCCATCTATCCTAGACAGTGGAAAAAGCCCATTGTTCAACTTCCCTTCTCCCACTTCTGCCGGGAACCTCTGCTCTAGTCTCCTGTCTCCTCCTTCTGGTTGAAGTGGAAAGGACCATCCCTGGCTGGGTACTCAATTGGTTAGAGCATCGTCCCACTACACAAAGGTTGGGAGTTCGATCCCTGGTCAGGGCACCTACCAGAATCAGCGAATGAATGCATAAGTAAGTGGAACAACAAATCAATGTTTTTTCCTCTCTGTCTCCCTCTTCCTCTTTCTCTCTAAAATCAATAAAATAAAATAAAATGAATTTTTAAAAAATGGATAGGATCCTTGGACAATAACCACCAAAATCCATCCAAATAATGAGGCCACACTTCAAAGTGACAGTCCCTGCTCCAAGGATAAGTGCTTCACATTGAGGATATCATTGAATTCACAATCATCTTATATGGTAAACCACTGTTACTCTCAATTAACAAATAAGAAAGTCGAGATCTACACAGGTGGGGTAACTTGCAGTATTAGTGTCCTAGGGCTGCGGTAACAAAGTGCCACAAACTGGGTGGCTGACAACAACAGAAATGTATTCTGTCTCGGTTCTGGAGTTTGGAAATCTGAAATTAAGGCACCAGCAGGGTCATGCTCCCTCTGAGACTCTGCGGAACATCTTTTCTTGCCTCTTCCAGCTTCGGGTGGTGGCCGTCGGTCCTCGGCAGCCCTTGGCTTGCCGCCGTATCACTCCAGTCTGCCGTGTTTTCACATGGCATTCTCCCTGTGTGTCTCTGCTTTCTTCTCTTACAAGGACATCAGTCATGTTGCATTAGTGCTCAGCCTAATCCAGACTGACCTCGTCTTAACTCGGTTACATCTGCCAAGGCCCTACTTCCGAGTAAGATCGCATTTACCTTTACAGGGAGTTAGGACCACAAAGTGTCTTTTTGGAAGGCACACTTCAAAATTATAACACCTGCCTAAGGTCACATGTCCAGGTAAGTGGGGGAGCCTGGCCTCGAGGTCAGATCATTCTCACTCCAGAGCCAGGGCGCTCTTCATCGTTGCAGTACGTGCCTCCATTGGTAGGTGAGGAGACAGACTTGGAGACCCTGCCTGACCCAGAATCTCCATCCTGAGCGTTGGGCTCTGTGGCCTGGTTCCCTAGACAGGAACCAACTATACCAGCCTTCCCCTCCATAGGCACTGCCTCCACTTGTCCCCCTGTCCTCCCTGTCTCGGGTCCACTGTCCCTACAAGTTTTCCACAGCTCCTCTTCTCATTCACATTCATTTTTTCTTGCCTTTCTAGGATTCTCCTCTCAAGACCCTCATGTCCCGCTATGAGGAGGCCATGGGACTCTCCGGCCACAAGCTCTCCTTCTTTTTTGATGGGACAAAGCTTTCAGGCATGGAGCTGCCGGCTGATCTGGACATGGAATCTGGGGACCTCATTGAAGTCTGGGAATGAAACCCCACTCCCTATTGTGAGCCCCAGCTGGACTTGGGGAGAATGTCTGTCCCCTTTTGGCCCTATAAAGGTTAGCTGAACCTGAGGCGGAACTTATCTTTAAGCTGAAGCAAAATCAAGGCATGGTATTTGATCTCCTCTCCCGTGGGCCCTAATTCCAAGCTGTTAGTAGCTGGTTAGTTGTGTGGTCATCACTGCTGCCCTGGGTGCCCTGTGTCTCCACTCACATGGTGTGGTGAGTTTTGCAAACTCCTGGGACATCCATTACGCTCACCCTTTCACTTCCACCCTCATCGTTTCCTTCACCAAAATGTCTGTTTTATAAAACTGCTCATGTTTGAAGAGCGAGTTGATAAATTAGCGTTGAGAATGGGATTCTGGGCCTGGGATGTACGCCACGTCTAGGACCAGCAGTGGCCTCAGCTTCATGTGGGGATAGGTAGTGAAGTTTGCTTGCAGCACATACACAGGTGTGGTTCCTTGGCTTGCAGGAAAAGAGATGATCGAGCTCACACATGCATGAGCTTAAGCACAGGCAGGCTGTGGGTTACCCCTTGGAAGGATATTGAAGGTTCTCGGCCTCGGGTATCCAACTTACCACACGACTCTCCCTTTTTAGGCCCCTTCCTGAGGCACACACATTATTTAAGGCATAACTGAGCACAGGCAGCCTTTTCTTTTGGACCTCAGATTCTAGTCCGTGCAAGGCTTCTCTGGTCTTCCAGCTTTTCTCCCCTTCCTCATGTCATCCTCTCCCATAATCATCCATGCTAGCGTGTTGATGACATGTCTTTGAATATGAATGTATCCTTGTAAAATGCAGTATTCAACGTGTGAATATCCTCCTTATATATGTGGTATTGTGCTATAGATCTCGTGTGGCTTCATTTTTCACTTAACATGTATTACTTGTTTTACATCTGCTTCATCGCTTTGAACTGGCCTGTCACATTCCACAGTGGGCGCCAGCTGTGTGTTACGTGTTCACTCGTGGATTCCTAGGTGACTCCAGCCTTGGGTACCTACGACATCTTGGCGTGCAGACAGGACCGCGCTGAGCATCCTGTTATGTGTCCCCTTCCACGCTTGTGTGGAAAGGTCTCCGGCATAGGTACCCAGAGTGGGGTTACAGGTCAGGCAGGTTAATTTATCTATGGTTCTGCCAGATTTTTCTTTAGATGGTCACTGACCCTCCCACTGGAAGCTTCCCATTTTTTTCTCATCCTCGCTAGCACTTTTATTGCCCAACATTCAATTTTTTGCCAGTCTGATGGGTGTAAAGTGGCACTGTTTGCATGTACATTCATCTCATCCCCAGGAATTTGGGGAATTTCTTCATATACCTGTCAGCCTTTCTGGCTTCCCTTTCTGTGAACTGTTCATATTCTCATGGGGGCTTCCTGTGTCTCTGTTTCGTCCCAAGAGTTGCTAGTTTATTTCTGGGCAGTTGCAAATACTCTCAGAATGGCACTTGGGTTTGTACATCTAGGGGTGCCCTGTACAGATCAGAAATTTTTAATTTTAATGTAGGTGAATTACCTGTTTTGTCATATCATTTGTTGCTTTTTCATTTCTTACTTAAAAGTAGTTGAGATATTGTACGTTTTCTTCTGTTACTTTATTAGCTTTTCCTTTCACATTTAAGCCACTAATAGGGCCAAAGTCTAGCTAGTACATGCTGGTATTTTGCAATGGCTGGTGTCTGCTCTACATGGTCCAATATTTGTTCTCGTTGGTTGATGCCAGGCTGTACTGGTTGCTAAATATTGAATATTACTTTTAAACTATTTGAAATTCACATTTGTATAAGAGATCCAAGTTTTATCTTCACCATATAATGAGCCAGTTTCCTCATTAATAAGTAAAGGCATTATTTATTTATTAATGAGCTGTCTACTAATAAAGGCATTAACTTTTCACTATGTGTGGTATAATTTTGGCAACAGTATCACATTCTCAAATTTTTTCTTGGGTTTTATTTTTGGAATTTGGCATTCCTTTGGCCCTGTAATTACAGGAAAGAAACTTTTATGATATTTAAAATATACATAATTATGGTATAGCTCTCATTTTTTTTAGATCTTTTATGTCTGTTAATAAGGGTGTTTTTTTTTAAAGATTTTATTTATTCATTTGTAGAGAGGGAAAGGGAGGGAGAAAGGGAGATAAATATCAATGTGTGGTTGCCTCCTGCGCACCCGCCCAACTGGGGACCTGGCCCACAACCCAGGCATGTGCCCTGACTGGGAATCAAACCAGTGACCACTTGGTTAGCAACCAGCACTCAATCCACTGAGCCACACCAGCCAGAGCTGTTAATAAGTTTTAACACATTAACCTTATGTATTCAGTCTCAGCAGAACACATGGGAATACGTTCAACTGCGTGTGCTTGAGTATTTCTGTTTTTGTGGCCTCATGGGACCCCCACTCAGTCTCTGTGACTAAGACCATTAGTTGTTCCCTCACATCCCTTCCTTCTCCTTCCAGGTAACAGAACTCCTGGTTTTTAGCAAAGCACAGAGACCTCAGAATGAAGACAGTACTTCCCAGCTTCTGTTGTAGCTAGGTGGGGCCAAGTGCCAATACAGGCTCATGGAGCTCAAGGGGCGGAGGGCTGCAATTTCCAGGATGTGACCCTATGTGGGCAGTGTGTGCCCCTCTCCTTTGCTGTCTTCCTGGAAGTGGAGCAAACTGACTGACATGAGGTGACTTTGGGGATGGAAGCCACACGGGGAAGGACAAAGAGAGAAGGAACCTGAGTCTTAGTTTCCATGCAGGGTTTTATCAGCCCCTATCAGCCTCGTGCTGCTGAAAGGGGAACTTCTGCCTCGTTTAAATCACTGCTAGCTGGGGATTTCTGTCTCTTGTAACCAAACCCAGCTCTAGCCTCAGGATGTTGCTATTGCAAGCAATATTGTAGTGATCCTCTTTGGGAACCTAGGTGAGATCTCAGGTTTACATCCAGCAGTGGAATTGCTGGTTGTTGAATGTACACTTGCCCAGTTTCTCTTGAGTGTTGCCAGATTTCTGACCAAAGTGGCTGGACCTCTCTAAGTCCATTAGCAAGTGCCAGAAGGTTCCAGTATCCTCTTCTCCGCCCTAACATTTAATCTGAAAAGAATATGGGAAATAATTGCAAAAAAATTTTCATTTCTTCTATGATGAGAGAGAGAGGTCACTTCTCAGGTGATCCCTCTAAAACTCTCCTTAAGCCCTGACATGTGGCTCAGTGGATTGAGTGCCAGCCTGTGGAGCGAAGGGTCACTGATTTGATTCCCAGTCAGCGCATATGGGGGGCTTGTAAGAGGCAACCAGACGTTGATGTTTCTTTCCCTTTCTTTTTCCCTCACCCTCTCTCTAAAAATAAATAATTTTAAAACTACCAAAATTAAAAAATAAATAAATAAAACTCCCCTTAAGATTAGAAACATGCAAAACCATAGTGAACTCTTACACAATGCCATGTACCAAGCATGGCGCTTTTAATCTTATTCATCCTCAGAGAAATCCTAAGAGGTAGGTTTTCTTATCACTGACATCCCCCTTATTTGCAATTTCACTTTCTGCCATCTCAGTTACCCGAGGTCAACCACAGCCTGAATATATTAAATGGAAAATTTCAGAAATAAGTGATCCATAAGTTTTACATCGCATGCCGTTCTGAGTACCTCACACATCACATAGGCAGAGTGTCGTCTCATATCATCACAAGAAGGGTGGGTACAATACAATAAGACATTTGGAGAGAGAGACTCTATTCACATAACTTATATTACAGTACAGTCATGTGCCACTTAATGACAGGAAAACATGCTGAGAAATGCATCACTAGGTAATTTTGTTGTCATGTGAACATCACAGAGTACACTTAATCACACCCAGATGGCACAGCTTACACATCTAGGCCGTATGGTACATATAACCTATTGCCCCTGGATATGACCCTGTGCAGCATGTCACCGTATAAAACAACATGAGGTTAAAGCCGGCACAGGAGAAAGTGAAGCCATTGAGACGTGGTGTGTGACTACACAGTCACACCTCGGCTCTCAAACCTCTCCCATCTCAAATAAATTGCCTCTCAAACAGCTTCCCAGAACAAGTTAGAGAACCACGTTTCCTCTGCGTCGTTATAATTGTTCTATTTTATTATTGCTAATCTCTTACTATTCCTAATTTATAAATTAAACTTTTTCATAAGTATGTTAGGTATAGGAAATCCAGATAGAGTTTGGTACTATCCACGGTTTTAGGCACCCACTGGGGGTCTTGGAACATATCCCTTGTGGAGAGGGAGAGACTACTATATTCCAATCTTAAGAAGAGGAACAAGCATAAAAAGATTAATTAACCTGCCCTAGACCACACAGCCAGATGTAAAACCAGGTGGGCCTGACATATGACTTAGAGTTCTTAATGAGGCCAGCATTTTCTACTCTTCATGTGCACACATATCATCTGGGGAGCCTGTGAAAATTCAGATGCGGGATCAGCAGTTCTGGGGTGGGGTCTAAGAAAGGCATTTTTAACCAGCTCCCAGGTGTTGCAACACTGCTGACCACACTGAGTAGCAAGACGTTATTTTGCATTTTTTCTAAAGACTTACACCTTTAATACCTCTCGCCTCCCCTCCCACTCCCCTTCCCTCCATCCAGCCCCCATAGGACTGGCCACGTTCTCTTTTGCGTGTCCCACCTCAGCTTAGAACAGGGTTCTGGCTCCGCATACTCTTACACCCTCTGGTTTATGCCTTTCTCCCCTGCTAGACTGTGAGATCCTTGAAAACAAATACAGTCATGCACTGCCTGCTGGTGTGGTCAAGGAGGGACCTCATACATGAGGTCTGTCCAGAAGGTATCCAGCCATGTAATATGAAAAATAGAGATATTTACTGAAGAAGATGCAAGATACAAGAAATATTGTATGTAGGATAATGACGCCACGGTCCCCTTCAAAGTGGGCACCTTGGGACCCCACACAGATCTCTCAGCGTCTCTTCCACTGTTCAAAACACTGCAAAATCCTTGTTGGAATCACCATTAGCTGCCCTGTTGTATTTTCCTGAATCTCGTCAACGGTCTGAAGTCTCTTCCCTTTCAAAGGTGATTTTAGTTTTGGGAGAATCCAGAAGTCACAGTGCACCAAATCTGGGCTGTAGGGGGCGCTGAGTCACCTGGGTTACTTGATAGTTCACTAAAAACTGCACAAGATGAGATGCATGAGTGGGCGCCTTGTGGCGAAGCTGTCCATCACCAGTCGCCCATAGCTGTGGCCATTTTTATCATATTGCACCTCTCAACTGACAACATTGAGGCCATGTTCCTTATTAAATGTTTAGCCTGGAGGGGAGTACCTGTGATGGACAACACCTTCCCAAACAAAAAACAATTAACATGGTCTTGATCTTGCTGCAACTTTGTCACACCTTCTTCAGGTGTGGAGAACCAGGTTACTTCCATTGGGATGACTGGGTCTTCGTTTCCAGATAATAACTGTAGACCCACAGTTCATCTCCAGTTATGACCTTCTTCGGGAAATCTGGTTCATTGGTAGTGGTTTGAATCAAGTCATTAGCAACTACAGTATGATGTTCCTTCTCCTCTGATAACAGAAGCCGTGGAACAAATTTTGCCATGACACATTTCATGCCCAGATCCTGCATCAAAATCTCGGACACAGTAGTTTTTGGGTTCCTGGGATCAGCTTCTAGTTCTCATTCTGTCCGTCGCCGATCTTTGTTGATTACAGCACGTACGCCTTCAACATTCTCAGGTGTTCTGCTTGTTGCAGGCCTTCCAGAATGTGGATCACTTTCAACAGATTCCCAACCACCTTTGAAGTGTTTGTGCCAAACTTTTATTTGCAATTCACTCATTTCATTGTCCCCAAAATCCTTCTGAATCATCCGAATAGTGTCTGCAGAGAAATGCAAGCTTAATGCAAAATTTTGCATTCAAGCTTAATGCAAAATTTTGCATTCAAGCTTAATGCAAAATTTTGCATTCAAGCTTAATGCAAAAATTTGCATTCAAGCTTAATGCAAAATTTTGCATTCAAGCTTAATGCAAAAATTTGCATTCAAGCTTAATGCAAAATTTGATTCAGAATCGTTCTACTTGCTGAATCATTTTGAATGCGATGGCCACACAGTACACATGCTGACTCAATGGCGTCTAACGCCCCCAGTGACTAGTACCGTGGAGTTGTCATTGTTCACATGTGCACATTCCAGTCCACTCTCCTTGGCTGCCAGGTTACATCAATGTCACATAAACTGTTCTCGTTATATTGACAGTGGCTGGATTTTTCTGGACAGACCTCATACAACAGTGGTCCCATAAGATTATAAGGGAGATGAAAAATTCCTAAGGTCTAACGACATGGACAGAGAGGCTGTAAAGCCAAAGTCAGTGCTTTCTGAAAAGAGTGACACCTCCCTAAAAAGAGACTCAGGCAGGTCCTTTAGAGTATATTACAGAAGAAGACATTGCTATCATAGGAGATGACAGCTCCGTCCTGCTATGGCCCCTGAACACCTTCCAGTGGGATGAGATGTGGAGATGGAAGGCAGGAGCACTGATGGTCCTGACCCCGTGTATGCTTAGGTAATAAGTGTTTGTCTTTGTTTTTCACAAAAAAGTTTTAAAAAAATTTAAAAAAATAGAAAAAAGCTTATAGAATGAGAACATAAAAAAAGAATAGTTTTGTATATCAATACAACATGTTTTAAGCTGTTATTACAAGTCAAAAAATAAAATATAAATTAAAAAAGTTGCAGTAAGCTACGTTTAACATATTATTGACAAAAATTTTAAATAAATTTGGTGTAGCCTAAGTTTACAGTGTTAATAAAGAAAACAGTTAATAAAGAGCATCAGCCTGATACCCTAAGGTTGCAGGTTCAATCTCCGGTCAGGGCTCATACAAGAATCAACCAATGAATGCATAAGTGGACCAACAAATTGATGTTTCCCTTCCCCTTCCTCTCTAAAATCAATTTTAAAAAAGACTACAGCAGCGTGCCATAAGGGCCTAGGCCTTTACATTCACTTGCCCAATCTTACAGGCTTCATTCATGGTAAGTGTCCTATATGAGTGTACCAATTTTTATCTTTTATATTATATCTCTGGATTTTCTATGTTTAGATATGTTTAAATACATAAATACTTACCTTTATGTTATAAGTGCCTGCAGTGTTCAGTATAGCAACATGCTGTACAGGTTTGTTGCCTAGAGGCATTAGGCTACACCACATGGCCTAGGTGCATAGCTGGCTATGCCATCCATGTTGTGTAAGTGCACTTCTCCTATGATGTTTGCACGATGAAATCGCCTAGTGACCCATCTTTCAGACTCTATCCCCTTCGTTAAGCAATGCATGGCTGTACATAATCTTGATTTTCTCAAAGATCCATGCTCAGTGTTTGGCACAGGAATTACCTAACAAATGTTTGGTGAGTGAATGAATAATTTCTTTGTCTCAAAGACTCTCACCACCGCCCGTCTCACTGCATAAGCCGGGAACCTAAGTTTCACTCTTGACATGTCTTTTACTTATATCCGCTCTATCACCAAATCAGCCTAACTGCTCCGGATGACTCTCAAAGCAGTTTAGTTCCCTCCCTCCACCCCATCCTGGTGCAGGCCACCGCTGCCTGCAGCCAAGACTAGTGCCACAGCCACCAGAGAGGTTGCTACACTACCCCTCTGACCCCCTCCAATTCATCTCCACTGCAGCCAGAGTGATCTCAAATGCAAATCTGATCTTTAATCACACAGCCTAAGCCCCATCCAGCCTGACCTCTGATCGCTCCCTACAGGCCTCCACCTCACTGCTGCTCTTCACACTGTCCTTTCAGATCCATGTATTCATTATGCTTCCTTCTGTGGCAGGGCCTTTGCACGTGCTTTCCACTGCTGGGACTGCTCTCTCTTCTTTCCTGGGGAAGTCAGTAATTGCCCCTCCCTCACATCTGAGCTCAAGGACCACTTCCTGAGAGGCTCTCAACCTCCCTGACCAGGTCAAATGTCCCTGTTATCAGGTCTTTATAGCATCCATATATCGAACTTCTTTTTTGTGACACTTGTCATAAGTGAACTTTTTTTTCCAGACATTGACATGTTTATATTTCAAAAACCACAATTTCCAAAGCAAATAGAACAAAAGTTGGGCTCCAGTTTAAACCAACAGACCTGTACAGACATATTTACTTATCTAACTTTAAAGGAATTTTAATCAAGAAGTCCATCAAATTTTAAAAAGCACTTGGCCCTGGCCAGTATGGCTCAGTTGGTTGGATTGCTGTGCCGTAGACTGAAAGGTCATGGGTTCAACTCCTGATCAGGGCACACACCCAAGTTATGGGTCTGATCCCTGGTTGGAGTGGGTATGGAAGGCAACCAATTGATATTTCTCTCTAACATCGATGTTTCTCTGTCTCTTTCTACTTTAATTTCTTCCTTTCTCTCTAAAAACAATGAAAAAATTGTCCTTGGGTGAGGGTAAAAAACAATTAAAAAGAATAAAAAAGCAGCAGAGAACGAGAAGGAAGGAGAGAAAATGACACCCACAGATCACATCACCTACAGCCAAGCTGCCGCTCAGCAGGGCTACAGCGCTTACTCTGCCAGTCCACTCACGGACAGGCACAGACCACAGACACAGGCATACAGGCAGCAAAGTTACGGAACCAATGGACAGCCCACTGAGGTAAGCCACGCCCAGGCTCAGGCCACTGCTACCTATGGGCAGACAGCTTATGCAACTTCTGACGGACAGCCTCCCACAGGTTATGCTGCTCCAACTGCCCCCCGGGCGTACAGTCAGCCTGTCCAGGGGTATGGCACTAGTGCTTATGATACCACCACTGCTACGGTCACTACCACCCAGGCCTCTTATGCAGCTCAGTCTGCTTATGGCTTACCCAGCCTGCTTACCCAGCCTATGGGCAACAGCCGGCAGCCATAGTACCTGTAAGACCACAGGATGGTTTCAAACCCACTGAAACTAGTCAACCTCAATCTAGCACAGGGGGTTACAACCAGCCCAGCCTGGGATACGGACAGAGTAACTACAGTTATCCCCAGGTGCCTGGGAGCTACCCCATGCAGCCAGTCACAGTGCCACCATCCTATCCGTGCTGTTCCTCCACACAGCGGACCTGTTCCGTCCAGAAAAGTTACTCTCAGCAGAACACCCATGGGCAGCCGAGCAGCTATGGACAGCAGAGTAGCTATGGTCAACAAAGCAGCTATGGGCAGCAGCTGCCCACTAGTCACCCCCTGCTCCAAACCGGATCCTCCAGCCAGGCTCCAGGTCAATATCTCCAACAGGGCAGCAGCTACTGGCAGCGGAGTTCATTCCGACGGGACGACCCCAGGGGCGTGGATGTTTATGGGCAGGAGTCTGGAGGATTTTCCGGACCAGGAGAGAACTGGAGCATGAGTGGCCCTGATAACCGGGGCAGAGGGCTAGGGGGACTTGATGGTGGAGGCATGAGCAGAGGTGGGCGGGGAGGAGGACTCGGTGGAATGGGCGCTGGAGAGTGAGGTGGCTGCCATAAGCCTGGTGGACCCATGGACCAAGGACAGGGTCTTGATCTAGGCCCTCCTGTTGATCCAGATGAAGACTCTGGCAACAGTGCAATTTATGTACAAGGATTAAATGACAATGTGATTCTAGATGATCTGGCAGGCTTCTTCAAGGAGCGTGGAGTTGTTAAGATGAACAGGAGAACTGGGCAACCCATGATCCATATCTACTTGGACAAGGAAACAGGAAAACCCAATGGTGATGTTCTAGTGTCCTATGAAGATCTGTCACCTGCCATGGCTGCCATGGAGTGGTTTGATGGGAAAGATTTTCAAGGAAGCAAACTTAAGGGTTCTCTTGCTCGAAAGAAGCCTCCAATGAACAGCAAGTGGCGAGGTACGCAGCCCCCGGAGGGCAGGGGGATTCCATCGTCGCTTCGTGGAGGCCCTGGGGGATCCATGGGCCGCACGGGAGGCCGTGGAGGAGAGAGAGGAGGCTTCCCCCCAAGAGGACCCCGAGGTTCCCGAGGGAGTCCATCTGGAGGAGGAAATGTCCAGCACCGAGCGGGAGACTGGCAGTGCCCCAATCCGTGGCGTGGAAACCAGAACTTCGCCTGGAGAACAGAATGCAACCAGTGTAAGGCCCTGAAGCCTGAAGGCTTCCTCTCGCCACCCTTTCCACCTCCAGGTGGTGACCATGGCAGAAGTGGCCCTGGTGGCATACGGGGAGGAAGAGATGGCCTCATGGACCTGGGTGGTCCTGGTAGCATGTTCAGAGGTGGCCGAGTCGGATACAGAGGTGGCTTCCATGGTGGCTGGGGCATGGACCAAGGAGGCTTTGGCTGAGGAAGACAAGGTGGCCCTGCGGGTCCTCCTGGACCTTTGACGGAGCAGATGGGGGGAAGAAGGGGAGAGTGTGGAGGACCTGGAAAAATGGATACAGGTGAACACCGGCAGGAATGCAGAGACCTCGCAGAGCTACATTGTTCCATGTTTATAACGTCGGTCACAACTTTATGATTATTCCTGGTCTGTGCTTTAGTATTTTTCACTATTTGTGAAGAATAAAGACTTAAAAGAAACAAACAAACAAACAAGCACCTGTATTCACTCAGAGAACAGCTGAATATTTTCCCCATTTGGCAAAACCAATTAGTATCAAAGTCTGCCTTTATAACCAGAAAGTTTTATTTTCATTGATGTCCAGTGGTATTGTGTTTGGGCTACAGGCTTTTTTCTTCCCATAACTTATTGGAGTTTAATTTACATGCTTAAACATTCACTCATTTTAAGTCTGTATTTCAAGAGTTTTAGGAGATGTACACAGTCCTGCAGAAATTCCCTGGTGCCTGTGTTTGCCTTCTCCTCCCCCCGCCCCCCCCCCCGGCAACCACTAATCTGCTTTCTGTCACTTCAGTTTTGCCTTTTCTAGATTTTCTATTTCTTCATTAGATTTCCAATAAATGGAGTAATACCATATGCAGTCTTTTGTGTCTGGGTTTTTTCACTTGGCATGTTTTTGAGATTTATCCATACTATATATCTCCTTGAGTAGTATTCCATCATATGGATATACTATTTATCTGTTGATAGACATGTGGGGTTTTTCTCCCCATTTTTTTGCTATTATATATAGTCCTTTTTTGAACAATCACATGCAGGATTTTGTTTGGACATGCTTTCATTTCTTGTTGATAGCTACTTAGAAGAAGAGTTGCTTGGTCATATGGGAAGTGGATGTTTAATTTTTAAAGAAACTGCCAAGCTGCTTTCAAAGTAGCTGTACTATTTGCATTCCCACAAGCACTGTATGAGACTTCTAGTTTCTCCATATCATTTCCAATACTTGTTATTACCAGTTTTTTTGCAGCTGTTCTAGTACAGCGGTATCTTATTGTGGTTTTAATTTGCAGTTTTCATGACTAATGGTGTCATATACTTTTTGGCCATTCATGCATCTTTTGTGAAGTGTCTCCTTAAGTCTTTTGCCCATTTAAAAATTGTGTTTTTATCTTATGGAATTTTGTTCTTTGTGCATCTGAATGGATATAAGCCCTTGGTCAGATACATGCCTTGCAAATATTTTCTTCCAATTTGTGGCTTGCCTTTGCATTTCACAGGTGCAGTTTTACATGTGTATGGTTATCTGTCTCCTCCAGATAAGACCCACGGTGGTAGGGACTAAAACTGCTTTACCCTGACACAATGCCAGGCACATAGTAGTTGCTCAATATTTAAAAAAAATTTTCTTATTGTTATACAATTACAGTTGTGCCCATTCTCCCTCCATTACTCTCCCCTGTCCTACCCACACCACACATTCCATGTTCAATCCCCACCCCATTGTCCTTGTCCATGTGTCCTTTATACATGTTCCTTGATTTGACCCTTTCCCTTCTTTCCCCCATGACTCCCTTCTCCCTCCCCTCTGGCCACTGTCAGTTTGTTATTTCCATGTCTCTGGTTCTATTTTGCTCACTTGTTTGTTTTGTTGATTAGCTTCCACGTATAAGTGAGATCATGTGGTATTTGTCTTTCACTGCCTAGCTTATTTCAGTTAGCATAATACTCTCCAGTTCCATCCACGCTGTTGCAAAGGGTAGGAGTTCATTCTTCCTTTCTGTAGCGTAGTACTCCATTATGTAAATGTACCACAGTTTTTTGATCCACTCATTTACTGATGGGCACTTGGGCTCAATAATATTTTGTTGAGGAAATTCAGTGAATACAATCTGAAGTTCCTCTCCATATTTTTCCTTCTTTTTAAAAAGATTTTATTTATTTTTAGAGACAGCAGAAGGGAGGGAGAAAGAGGGGGAGAGAAACCACAACTGGGAACCGAGTCAGCAACCCAGGCATGTGCCCTGACTGGGAATCCAACCAGCTACTGCTTGGTTCGAAGGCCGGCACTCTGTCCGCTGAGCCACACCAGCCAGGTCTCTATCTCTTTCCTTTAAACCCTCAGTGGAAACCTGGGTTAAGGTTCTAAAACATGAAGTGTATCCTGGAACAATGTCAAAGGGGAGTATCCATGACTCAAAATAGTTTCTGATAAGCCGCCTTGGGGGCCTCATGCTTTCCCCATGAGACTCCAGAATTTCAGTAGGTCTGGCTCGAAGAGGGGTCTTGAAGGAGCATGTGCATAGAACTATACTAATTTTATTTAGAACGTATTTTATTAGCTGCATCTTGGAGATTGGGGCGGGGTGATACAAGGAACCACTCCAGGCTCTCCTTTGGTGCTAGGGCTCTGTAATCTTTCTTTGTCCTTAGGCTTCAAGCCCCTGCCCGCCCTAAATGAGGCCACCAGATGGCGCAAGAGCGAGGGAGAATCGCTACAGACTGTGGAGGCTGTTCTTGAAACTGAGAAACCTCAAGGGTTTACACGCAGCTGGGTTGGGGGATCCAAAGGTCAGGAAGGGGGCCTAACGAGAGGCCGGGGCCCAACGAGAGACCAGAACTGCAGTCGCTGCTCAATTCATTCATTCATTCATCACTTAGTATGTGAGGAAGAATAATCACTTGAGCGGGAACTGTTCATTGGCATTTCTAGAGATACTTACTATCTCCAGAACATTTCAACATTCCATTATCTAGTTTGGGAAGAGGTCAGCCAAGAGGGTGTTCAGATAAGGAAGCCGAGATTCAAAGGGTTGGGCAATTTAAGCAGTTCCCCCAGACGGCCTTTTGGGTGGCAGTCTTCCCGGGGATGCGGCCGCCAGTTGCCACCGCGGCGCAGCGGCTGAGGTGCTTGGGGTTGCAGGAGGAGCGGGAGGCAGGAGGCGCGCGGAGTCTGTGACAGCTCCGTAGTTACCCGGACTACTCGGCGGCTGTCACGTGGTTCAGGAGCGTGCGGCCGAAGCAGAAGGAGCATGCGCAGCTCTGGGCTGGGGCTTCAATATTCTGGCAGCCGGTCATGTGTCAAGGGCTTGCACGCCGTGGCTTGCCAACACTGCTCCTTCGTCACATGACCGGTTCTTAGCCATCATGGCGGCGGCCGTGGTGCAGCGTCGGGGCTGAGCTACAGCGAGTGTAGTGGGCTTCTGCCCGGGGTGAGAAGTGGCCTCCACCTGGGGGGTGGGGAGGATCGGGCCCTCCTTAACCTTCTCCTGCTCCCGGCATCACCCGAATTCCACTCGTTCCCTTTGCGCGGTGTCTGCCGGGACTGGGAAGCTTGACAGGGCCCGGGTTCCATCCCGGCCGTGCTCTGTGCGTCGGGACAAGCTCTTACCCCTCTCTGTGCGCACCTCCCTCGCCTGGGTTCCCTCCATCCTCCATTCTCCAGCTTCCTCCCCTCGCAGGTACGATCGTCGGTGGGACCGGAGCGCGGGCGGGCGCGGCCCCCGGGACCATGTCCGGGTCCGAAACCGAGCCCTTCCTCAGCCAGGCGGATGACACAAACGACAGGCCGGTGCCTGGCACCTCGGCATTACCGGGGTCCATGGGGAACCCGAAGTCCGAGGATCCGGAGGTCCCGGACCGGGAGGAGCTGCAGCGCATCACGGGCTTGTCTGCCGGCCATTCGGCTCTCATAGTGGCCGTGCTGTGCTACATCAACCTTCTCAACTACATGGACCGCTTCACCGTGGCTGGTACTGATTTCGGGGAGGAAGTAGATGAGGGGAAAAGAGAGGGGTCCCCAAGGTGAGGCTACCTCGCGGACCCCATCCTGAGTCTTCTTCCCAGGCGTCCTTCCGGATATTGAGCAGTTCTTCAGTATCGGAGATAGTAGCTCCGGCCTCATTCAGACCGGTGAGTGGAGGCTTCTCGTGGATGGATACACAGCAACTATTTTCCCTATTCTTACCCCAGTAGGGAGCATATGCTGGCGTGCCTGGGGCCTCATTGATGGAGGAATAGTGGCCAGAGCTAGGGGAAGAGATGGCCCTGATTCTCCTCTGAAATTATTCTGGTTAGTTAGCACACCCCATGTAAAGAGGGAGTCAGTTTAGAGTAATAGTTAGGCCAGACCTGGGTTTAAATCTCAGCATTCTACTCGGAGTGTGATGACAAGCGAGGCCCTCGACCTCTTTAAGTCTCACTTTCCATATTGATGAGATGGAACTAGTACTGATCCAGATCATCTCAGAGGGCTGATGTGAGGATTAAATGAGATAATGCCTGTGAAGTGCGTAGTATGATGCTGAGAACATGGTAGGTGCCCAATAAATAATAGCAGAAGAGGGTGTCTGGAATGGAGAGAGATGAGTTTTACTTGTTCAGAACTTTGGGATGTGTGAGAGAGGGAAAAACAGGCCCAAATCCTCTTTTCTTTCCTTCCCTCCATTCATCTTGAGTCTTTCTGAGCACCTACTGTGTCCCAACCTCTGGAGGAAGTAGTGATAACATCTACATAACTTATCCAAGACCTTTGATAAAAACCCATTGTTTTCAAATTCTTCCATCAGCCAAGGAATAGATGTTACTCTTAATTTATAGAAGAAGTAGTTAGGATTATCTACATTTTAAAAAAATGTTTTTAATTTACTGATTTTAGAGGGAGAAACATTAATTTGTTGTTCTACTTATTTACGCATTCATTGGTTGATTCTTGTATATGCCCTGACCGGGGATCTAACCCGCAACTTTGGTGTATTAGGACGGCGCTCTAACCAACTGAGCTACCTGGTCAGGGATATAAAGAAACTTCAGGTTTGGAGAAGAGTTAAGACTTGCCCAGAGTCACACAACAAGTTAAAGGCAGAAGAGGAATTTGAATCCAGGCCTTGCAATGTTCTTTGCTCCAGTCTAAGCCAATAAGGACCTGGAGGTATTTAAGGCAGTCTAGAGGAATGAGAATGGAATCATACGTCATGGTCTGCAAAACTCTAAAGCGTGTTCAGTTAGAGAAGACGCAAGTCTTTTTCAGCAGCCCCATTCACTCTTTCATCCAACACATGTTTACCGAGCCCCTATTTTATGCTAGGCCATATGTTAAATAATGGAAACACAGTTATGACCAACACAGGCAAGGTCATTGTGTTCATGGAGCTGACATTCTGCTGTGCCTGAGGGACAACAGTCCATACAAATCTAAACTGGTAATGAGATAATTTTCCTTAGGAATAAGTGCTATGTAAAAAGAAAACAGTAAATGTGGAAGAGACTGAATGTGTGTTGGTTGGAGAAGAGTATCAGCTGGAGCCTGAACTTGCTACGCTCTATGAATCTCACAGGAGAAAAGAGAATATCCCAGATAGAGAGGACAGCAGTTGCCCAAAAACCTAAGATGGTATTGAGCTTTGCTATTGGGCTATCGGGGTGCAGCGAAAGGAAAGGAAGAACATGAGGTTGGAGAGGTAGGGAGGGGTTAGATCACACAGTGCATTGTAGGCCATGATACGGAGTTTAGATTTATTTCTTGTCTGGATGGGAGGAAGTGATGAGTCAGATGGACCATCCATTCTACAATGGAAGGTTTGAAAGATGTTTAAAATGGAATTGGACTCTCCTGGCAGGAAGCTCTGATAGTTCCAGGGTTGGGAGTTAATCCTTCCCACCCCCTTGCCCTCCCTGAGCTGGGTTGGCGGGTGGGGTAGGGGTACTGGGGCTGGGCTGTGACTCTCTGCTTCCCCTCAGTGTTCATCTCCAGTTACATGGTGTTGGCACCTGTGTTTGGCTACCTGGGTGACAGGTACAATCGGAAGTATCTCATGTGTGGGGGCATTGCCTTCTGGTCCCTGGTGACACTGGGGTCATCCTTCATCCCCAGAGAGGTGAGGCCCCATGATGACTACTGCTTCCAGCCCTTCCACTCCCCCATCAATCTTTGCTTCTGCTCTTTGGAATCATTGCAGACTGGGCCTGGGGAACTTCTGCAGTTTCCTTGGTCTATGCCATCAACCGCCGCCCACCCTACCCCCCTGCCTTGCCTAAGTTAATCTGCCCATGCCATCCTTTCCCCTTTTCTTTCTCTTTTGAAAAAAAAAGATTTTATTTATTTATTTTTAGAGATAGGAGAAGGGAGGGAGAGAGGGAGAGAAACATCGATGTGAGAGCAAAACATCTATCCCCAGACGGGGGACCAAACCTGCAACCCAGGCACGTGCCCTGACTGGGAATGGAACCAGTGACCTTTCACTTTGCGGGACCACACCCAGCCAACTGAGCCACACTGGTCAGGGCTTCTCTCTTCTTTCAGAACCTTCTCTCCATCATCCTCACTCCCCCTGCCTATTGACCCCGTCCACTCAACACCTAAACACTCACATTTCTTTCTCTACCTCTTCTTTCTCTACTTTACCTAGACTGCCCTCTCCCCCTCTTCCCCTTCCTAGTCAGACTTCCTGAAAGGCCTCCTTGACCAAGCTCCAGTCTGGGTGAAGGAGCAACCAGGAAGAGGCTCTCACTTTGCCTGCACTTCCTCTCCCACTTGCCCCTTGAGCACTGCCCGCTGAGCTGCCCCCAGCACCCCATTGCCAAAGTCAACAGTGACCTCTCGGTTGCTAAATGTAGCTCCTACTTCCTGGTCCTCTTCTCACTAGATCTCCTGGGAGTCTCTGGCTCTATTGACCCACTTCTTCCTTCTGGAAACTCTCTTTTAACTTCTGTGATACCATTCCTCTGGTTTTCCTCCTGCCTGCCTGGCTGTTGCTTCTTTGCCCCTTGAAAATCCCGTCTGTTCTCTCTGCCCCAGAACTCTGTCCTCAGCCCTACAGACTTCCTGGGAGATGGTACCTAAAAACAGCTTCAGGGGTCTTTGGTAGACAAATGAAACCCCACCTAAGATCATTATTCACGATTAGATGGGGTGGGCAAGATAGAAATTAAGATTTATTTTGCATGTACTGGGCACAAGGTAAAGAACAGACCTTTTATTGTCCTATCCTCACAGTAGTTATGTGAACAAGTTGTTGTCTTCCTTTTTCAGATCAGGAAACTGAGGCTCAGAGAGGTTAAGTTGCTTTCTCAAAGTTACAGCTAGTAAGTAAGGGAGCCAGGATTCAAGCTCAGGTCTGTTTGACTCTAAAACCCTGGCCTTTCCCGCCATCCCTGCCACCTCTCCAGAACTGGCTGGTGAACTAGACTGGGAGGCTGGCTGTAGGGTGGGGTGCCACCTCCCCACCCCCGTCTCGTTCCCCAGCGGTTCTGGCTGCTCCTCCTGACTCGGGGCCTGGTTGGGGTCGGGGAGGCCAGTTACTCCACCATCGCACCCACCCTCATCGCTGACCTCTTCGTGGCAGACCAGCGGAGCCAGATGCTCAGCGTGTTCTACTTTGCCATCCCAGTGGGCAGGTGAGTGGGCCTTGGGCCTGCCTGGCAGGGAGGCAGACGGGCCTGGCATGGGGCATGACTGACCAGCTGTCCCCTCTCCTGTCCTCCCCCTTTCCTCTAGTGGTCTGGGTTACATTGCAGGCTCCAAAGTGAAGGATGTGGCTGGGGACTGGCACTGGGCTCTGAGGGTGAGTCTGGTCATAGCCTGCGGGAAGGTCAGCAACATTGTCACTGATTCCCCCTTTTTTCCCTTCAGACACCCCGTTTTAAGGCAGCACTTACTCTGCCAAGCCTGCAGAAAGCCTGGCTGCCCTCACCACAAAGCCCTGTGCTAGACAGAGCTCTTGGTTGCAGGTGACAGAAGTCCATTGTAAAAGCGTAAGCCCCCAAGTGGGACTGTGTTGGCTTTCACAATGAAAAGCCCCAGGGTGCGCTTCCGCTAAAGCTGGATCCAGGACTCCCGCAGTCAAGGGAATTTGATCATCCTTCTCTTAGCTCTACTCTGTGCTACCTGTGTTCTCAAGCAGGTGGAAACTCCACACGTCTGTCTTCCCATTTAGAACCTCTGGCACCCTGGGTCCTTGAGCAATAGCCCTGGATAGAATCTGATTAGATGAATGTGGGTCACGTGCCTGCCATTGAATCAATCACTGATGCTGGGGGAGGTAACACTGCTCCTGTTGGCTAAGTCTGGGTTACAAGCCCTGCCCTATCTGAACCACACTGATCGAGAGAAGTGAGAGGAGTGGTTTCCCCCCCCCAAAAAAAATTAGGGTGCTGTTACCAAAGAGGGAGCAGTTAGGCTTGCAGAAATGGGTGTGACCCCTAGTAGCAATCGCCCCGCCCCTGCCCAGTTGCAGGTTCAGCATCCTTGAGCAAGCGCTCACCCTGGTTGAGGTCTTGGCGCCTAAGTTGCCTTTATACACCTTTCCTTTCTCCCAGCCCCAGCGGTTGAGTGTGTCTCTGCCTGTGCCTGTCCTGAAGCCCACTCTTTCCCCAGGTGACACCAGGCCTAGGAGTGGTGGCTGTACTGCTGCTCTTCCTGGTGGTACGGGAGCCGCCAAGGGGAGCTGTGGAGCGCCACTCAGACTCGCCACCCCTGAACCCCACCTCGTGGTGGGCAGATCTGAGGGCTCTGGCAAGAAAGTGAGTTTAATTCCATCCTAACCCAACATCTAGATCCCTAGGGAGGCTGGACAACTGAGTTGAAATTCACGTGGGGGTGGTCTGTGTTTTCTTTCCTGTCACCTGGCCCAATGTCAGGGCCAGTAGTTCAGTCACTAATGCCTCCTGTGGCAGCTGCTTGAATTGCAGGCCCAATCCTAGTGCCCTGACCTTACTAAAACAGGCCAGGAAGGCAGAAGAGAGCCTCCTACCCCGACACCTCAGTGGAGTGTGACCCTCCTTTCCAACTCTCTTTGCAGCCCTAGTTTCATCCTGTCTTCCCTTGGCTTCACTGCTGTGGCCTTTGTCACGGGCTCCCTGGCTCTGTGGGCTCCTGCATTCTTGCTGCGTTCCCGTGTGGTTTTGGGGGAGACCCCACCCTGTCTTCCTGGAGACTCTTGCTCTTCTTCTGACAGGTACCCAGATGGGGGGCCGGGATGGATGGCCTGCAGGTAGCAGGGGATGGAGTGGAAAGAGTAGGATTCAGACTCAGAGAAGGAGAGTGTGAATCCCAACTCCACAAGCTATTTTGCTCTCCCAGCATTTCAGTTTCCTGGTCTGGGAAGTAGGTGGTGGGAAATCCCTGAACCACGGGGTATTGTGCCTGGAGAGACCTGGGTTGTGAGGGTGGCTGGGATGGATAATCTTCCTCTCCAGGCCACAGGGGCGAGGCGAGGGGGCTTTGCAGGGGGACGGACTAGCGCCCGTGCCCCTCTCCCTACCTCCAGTCTCATTTTTGGGCTCATCACCTGTCTGACCGGGGTCCTGGGTGTGGGCCTGGGCGTGGAGATCAGCCGCCGCCTCCGCCGCTCCAACCCCCGGGCCGACCCGCTGGTCTGTGCTGCTGGCCTCCTGGGCTCTGCACCCTTCCTCTTCCTGTCCGTTGCCTGTGCCCGTGGTAGCATCGTGGCCACCTATGTGAGTAGCCAGCAAGTATCAAGGGGGACTGTTTTGGGCCCAGAGTTGGGGAGTGGTGCCCTGGGGCAGGACTGAGGTCAGCCAGCATAGCCAACTCTGGAGTGGGAACGCCTGGCTTTGAATGTCAGGTCTTGCCCTCCTAACTGTGGCATTGGGCTGTGTTGTTTCACGGTCTGCAAGAGGGGAATAGTAATAGCTCCTGTCTCATAGGGGTGTTGTGAGGACTGAGTTAGTAGATGGACCTCCATGTGTTTGTTCTTGTGATGAGCTCAACCCTGTTTCCCACCCCCCCCACCTCCTGGTCCTTCAGATTTTCATCTTTATTGGAGAGACACTTTTGTCCATGAACTGGGCCATCGTGGCTGATATTCTGCTGGTGAGTAGGTGGGCCGTTCCGGGTGGGTCCACAGGCTAATGGGAGCAGGAAGTGGCTTGAATTGTGCCCTTTACCTCTTCTTCAAAACCCAGTCCCAGGGTGACTTCAAGTCCAGCCCCACGTGGGCCTATAGTCCAGGCCTGCCCTATTCTTCACCCTAGTTACCCCTCTGTGCTGAGGCTTACCTCTGACCTCAGCCTAGACGGAGCCTTGCCCCATCTGTGCCCTCTGTCTCCGCCCCTCCTCCCCGCAGTATGTGGTGATCCCTACGAGACGCTCCACTGCTGAGGCCTTCCAGATTGTGCTGTCCCACCTTCTTGGTGACGCTGGGAGTCCCTACCTCATTGGCCTGGTGAGCACTGCTCTCTTGCTGGGTTGGGGGTCAGGGCACCCTGCATTCCTAACACTGGCCAGTGGCCGGTGGCCTGAGCTGGGCGGAAGTGGAAAGTCTGGCCGCAGCTCGGCTTCTGTGCCGGGCACATCTCGCCTTGGGTCCACAGCTAATGGGAAGGATTTTGTCTTTGCAAGTTTCCGCATGAGGCCATGAACCCTGGAAGTCCGGACACCCTTCCCTGGCTCCAGTCTTTGTTTGTCTGGAGTTTGGGGACCCCTCTCCGCAGTGCCCTCTTTAAGGCTCTTTCTCCTCGCTTTCCTTTCCTTGTCTTCCCACAGATCTCCGACCGCCTCCGCCGGAGCTGGCCTCCCTCCTTCTTGTCCGAGTTCCGGGCCCTGCAGTTCTCGCTCATGCTCTGTGCCTTTGTCGGGGCACTGGGCGGTGCGGCCTTCCTGGGCACCGCCATTGTCATTGAGGGTGACCGCCGGCGGGCCCAGCTGCATGTGCAAGGTCAGTTGGACCTTCCCTCTTCCTTATCTGTGCATAGCCCCTCATCCACCCTCATGATGCTGCCTACTTGTTCATTCACCCCTCTGTCTAGACCACCCCCACGTGAATTTCTCCCCTCTGTGGACCCGTACCTGACCTCTCTCAGGGCACAGCCCTCCCTTCATCCAGCTTCAGGTCTGCCTGGCCAACAGGCTGACGTCCCACTGTGTCCGCAGCTCTGGGACCCCGTCCATTTCTCACTGCCTGTTTGTCCGCTCCCAGGCTGTGTGTGCGTGTCTGCCCATCCAGCCCTGGTCCTGACCTCTCCCCGTCCAGGTCTGTTGCATGAGGCAGAGCCCGAAGATGACCGTATTGTCGTGCCCCGGCGAGGCCGCTCCACCCGGGTCCCTGTGTCCAGTGTGCTCATCTGAGGGGCCGTCACTCACCTACCTGCATACCTACCACAGCCGGTCTTAGGGCAACCCCAGCAGGCACCTGGGCCCGAGCCCTTGGCCTGGCCCAGCATCTAGGAGCGGTTTTGGACCATGTTCTGGCTCCCACACACTACACAGGCAGCCAAGGGTGGGCAGTGAGGGTCTGGGAGGGGACCCCGCTCTACGGGAGCAGCTCCAGGGTCTCGGTGCTATTTGTACTGAATAAAATTTGTAGCCAGACCCCAACTGCCTGCTTTAGTCTCTCTGGGTGCGAGTGACCAGACCTCTGGACTGTAGGGGATGCCCCTTCTCCAGGCCCAGGGCTCTTGGTGGCTGTTGGGTCACTCCCGTGGGCCTTCTGAGCCGGGTGAACGAGGGTGGAGTGAGCTGGCTTTGTGTGACTGTGAGTCACGCCCCTGTTTCCCTGAGAGCCCTCCCCTCTTGGCCAACTAGGGTGAGGTGGGGGAGGGCCCCGTGCCCCTCTGAATTCCTGGTGTCAGCCTCCCTCCTTGCTGCCTTCTTGAGCCAAGGCGCAGAGGCTATCCCTGCTGGCCGGCCTGCAGTTGTCTTGTCCTTTTCCCACTGGTATGAGTTGCCCCTTGTCCTGGAGACCAGCGCACCCTTCTTGAGGACCTGAGGGTGGCTCCCCAGGCCTCCTCCTCCCCTCCCCACTGGCTGGGTGGGGGTGGGAAGGGGGTGGATGCAGCCGGCTGAGGAGCCTGATGATTTCCTGCCCTCACCCGGCGCTCACCACAGCTTCCTGCCGCAGGCGGGCAGGCAGGCGCTGAGGAGAGGCGGGCGCCAAGCCGAGGGGCAGGTAGGCCTGGGTGCGGGTCCATGCAGGGGTGGCTGGTGCTCCAGACGCCAGCCCAGGCCCTGGCCTGACTGCCCTGGGATAAAAGGCCTTTCGGAGCCAGCACCGACCCCCACTCAGCCCAACGAGGGGAAGGGGTCCAGGGAGCCCTCAAGGAGGGCGCGGCCGCCCCCCACCGGGCTCCGAGCCTGGTGCCGTTGGGCCCTTTCACCCTGCCGGCCCAGCCCTCGCTTTGGTGCAGCTCTGTCCTGGAGGGGTGTACAGCGAGCAGTCAGGCCTGGTCCAAGCTCTGTCCTGCAGATAGATGGAGGTGGCCATCCTGCTCCCCCTGGTGCTGGGCCTCCTGCTGCTGCCCCTCTTGGCCGTTTTGCTGACGGCACTCTGTGTGCGCTGCCGAGAGCTGCCAGGTGAGTGGGAGCTGGGGGGTGATCAGGTGCTGGGACACACAGACAGGGATCCTCAGCCCGCTCCCCAGGCCCTCACCCCCTCCAGCTGGCCCTAACTGCCCTGCCTGCGGAGACACTGAGAGCCCCTGACTCCATTACCCTCTTCCCCTGTCACTCCCTTTTCCTGCCTCACTGGCCTCTTCCGCAGACTCATATGACAGTGCTGCCTCCAATAGGTGAGTATGCCCTCTTGGCTGGCCCTGCTCCCTTTATACCCCATGTGGGGCTGGCCCTGGGGCCTCTCCTGGTCCCTTACCCAGCTATGTCTCCCCTGCCAGTTTGACCCCAAGCATCGTGCTCAAACGGCCTCGTGAGTACATGCAGGGCCCTCTGCCCCCGGGGTAGGGAAGAGAGTTCCCTGGCGTGCGCGCAAGTGTGTGCCTTTGTTCAGGTTCCCCTCATGGCTGCCCACATGGTCTTGACAAGAGCTGGGATGGGGGAAGGATATACGTGTCCTTGGGCCTGTCCAGGGCACAGAGGTTTCCAGGGGTTCGTCTGTCCTTTGAGGCCTTGACGAAGGTAGGGGCATGATGTTGGGACTCATTCCTTCACCTTGGTGCTGTGTCCTCAGCCACGATAGCCCCCTGGCCACCAGCTCCTTCCTATCCACCTGATACCTCCTACCCATCCTTCAGCCCGCCAGACCGGCTCCTCATCCCGTAAGTAACCCCTTCCCCTCCAAGTCCCCCTCTTTACCCCTCACCTCCTTGGATTGGGAGTTTCTTTCTCTATTGTAACCCCTCCTGCCCCAGAGTCCCCTCCCAGGTATGACCTCTGACTTTTGACTCCCAGGAGATCCCCACAGCCCCCAGGGGGCTCCCACCAAATGCTGTCTTCCCGGCAGGACTCAGATGGTGGTAAGCTGGAGCGGGCGCCCAGGGCGCTGGGGCTGGCATAGGGTAGGCCCAACTCACCTGACTCAGTCTCCCTCTCCCTCTCTCTCCATAGCCAACAGTGTGGCAAGCTATGAGAATGAGGGTGCGTCTGGGACCCCAGTGCCCGGGGTGGGGGAGGCTGGGGCCTGACCTGGACTGTTCTGACCCCTGCGTCGTTACCCTAGAGCCAGTCTGTGAGGACGAGGATGAAGAGGAGGATGAGGAGGACTATCACAACGAGGGCTACCTGTGAGTGGCCAGGTGGGAGGAAGGGGCTGAGGCCGGGGTCCGAGCTAACCTGTCCCTTGACTTCCCCTCAGGGAGGTGCTTCCTGATACTGTCCCAGCCAACAGCAGTGCTGTCCCAGCAGCTCCTGTGCCCAGCAACCCCGGCCTCCGAGACAGCGCCTTCTCCAGTGAGTCACCTTTCTGCCCGCTGCCCGCTTCGCTGTGTGCAGCCCCTCTGCTCTTCTCTCTCCTGTTGTTTCTTTGATGCTTGCTATACGTCTGTTTTCTCTCTTCTCTTTTTCTAGAACTCCTGTCCTTCAGATAGTGGACATCCTGCTCTGATCTTCTGATTTTCTTTCTTTTTCTCTCCTCTTTCCTATCTCTTTGTCTTCTCCTCTGCAAGATTTCCTTCGCTTCATTCTTCTTTGGCTTTATGCCTTGACTCTATTCTTTTAGTCTCTCCTGTGTGAAAGCTTTTTCTTGATACCCAACATGTTTGGTTTTCATAGCTTCTTGTTCTTGTTTCATGGAGGCAATATCATCTTTTAAATCTCCAAGGATATTGAATAAATGTTGTCTTTTTTTGTCTTTGTTTTTTTGGAATTTTTCTTCTGCTTCCTGCATTGTCTGTGTTTCCTTTGAGCTTCTTTTCTTTGTTTTGGTCATATCCTGCCTGTTGGGCACTTTCCTTGTCTGGTAATCGGTAGTGTTCTCTTACTCCCCTCTCTACATGCACGTGCCCCGGGCCATCACTTCTACGCCCTGGCTTCATTTGCCGTCCAGATTCCCAACTCGTTGCCTCTCTCGTGCGATTCAGACTGTCTGTCCAAGTGCTTCTTTTCTTTCATTCACTTACTCGTTTATGATATTTACTGGGTGCCTCTGATGTAACAGCTCATTAATGTCATGATAAAGGAGCTAACAGTATTGAGGATGTAGTATATGCCCTACTAAGAGTTTTATGTGTATTTGCCTCTTGAGCCTCAAAGTTCCCAGGTGCTGCTGAGCCTGTCCCTTCTCCTCCTGTGCCTCAGTTATCCCAACCATACGATGGCAGGGTTTATTTATTTAACAGACACTTGGTAGCGCCTCCTGCTTAATATTTACATTCATTATTCACTGCTTTAGTCTTCATAGCACCTCAATGAGATGGGTAGCTACTCATCCTATTTTTTTATATTCATCCAATTTTACAGTTGAGAAAACTGAGGCCTGGAGAGGTTGCGTAGCTTGTCTGAGGTTGCATGATTAGTTAGTGCTAGAGCTGGACTTGAACCTGGGCGGTCTGGCTCCAAAGCCTGTCTTGTCCACATCCCTATGGAGAAACAAGTCAACACATGAAAGAACGCCATAGTATCAATGACAATGTGTTCTATGAAGGGACTAAGACAAGAATGGGGGATGAGGGCCAGTCTGTCTGAAGATGAGGGGCCAGTTGGGCTGATGGCCCCTCTGACTTAGCCCAGCCCAGAGAGTTGTACCCCCTTCCACACATGCCACCCCCCGTCCCCGCCCGCCATGGCTCCGAGCTGCTCTCTGGCTCTGCTCCCCAAGCGGGACGCTGCTGGTGTTTTGCTGTCTCTCCTCTCTCCCGCAGTTGCATTCCCTCTAATCAGTTCTGGTCAAATTGCCCTCTTCTCCCCATTGCTATGGCCTCTGCCCTCCTTCAGGCCACTGGCATCCCTGGCCTGGGTCACCCTCTCAGCATCCCTCGGGGCTGACTGCAGGGACGGTCTCTGGGCGTCTGTGCAGGCCTCTTGGGCTGGTTTTGTTGAAAGCCTTTGGTGGCTGTGGTTGGGAGCTTTGTCTGCTCGGGTGCTCTGGGATTCTATGGCTGAGGGCTCTGAGTAACAGTGCTGGGGACTCTGATGGTTTTCTGCAGTGGAGTCGGGGGAAGATTATGTGAACGTTCCTGAAAGTGAGGAGAGTGCAGACGCGTCTCTGGGTGAGCGGCTGGTGCCCTCTTAGGGTCCTCCTTCCCCGCTCCCCTCCCTCTGCCACCCTGCCCCAACTCTCAGTGTGACCCGTGCCCCCACCCCTTTCATGGCTCGGTTGCCCTCTGTCTGGGTGTCCTCCTGCTCTCTCACCCTCAGTGTGGCCTGCCCCCTATCGGTGTGGCAGTCCCTCCTCCTGACCTGTCCCCACAGATGGGAGCCGGGAGTACGTGAACGTGTCAGAGGAGCTGCAGCCCACTGCCCGGACTGAGCCTGGTGTGTGCGGGGGAGGGGCGGGCACTGGGAGCTCCCTGGACGAGGCTCGGTTTTCAAGCTGAAGATGCACCTCCCTTCCCCCCACAGCCATCTTGAGCTCCCAGGAGGTGGAGGAAGAAGAGGAAGAGGGTGCCCCAGATTATGAGAATCTGCAGGAGCTGCATTGAGGGCCTGGTGAGAGGCCTGCCCAGCCCAGCCCTGCCCTGGGCTTGTGGGCTCCTGACCCTCCCTCTAAGGCCCTGCCCCACCACCTCAGCCCCATCCTCCCTGACCCTTTTATACGCCCCTCCCCACCTCATGACCCCCAAACTCCTCCACCTCTCCCTGCCCTCTCGTGTTGCAGCACGAAGCATGCCTGCCCTGGAGCCTGCCTTGCCTGGGGGAGCGGAGCTGGGCGCTGGCAGTGGCCCTGGGGGGCCCATTGGCACCTTGCCCCGGCTTGAACCTGACAACCGCCTGAGAATTTTCCTCCTAACTTATTGTCACTTTGGGGTCCAGTCTAGGTACCCCCAAAACTCTGCACCTTCTGACACAGCCTGAGAATGAACTGCCTCGGCCCCAGCCCTAGTCTGTAATAGAATAAAGGCTGGTGTGGTCTGTAGCGCTCTTGACTTTGGGGGGTCCGGTGGGTCGGAGTCAGGGTGAGGGTGGGCTGTGCCTGAGGTCTGTGTGTATGTGTGCGTGTCCGCGGCTCTCCGTGCTCCGCAGCGCCTTCGTGCTCCTAAGCGCCCTGGCCAGGTGCTGCGGGAGTGACTGTGAGTGCTGGCTAGGACACATCCCCCTGTGAGTGAGGCAAGTCTGACCCAGACTGGCACTTCCGGGGCCCAGGTGCATCTCCCCGTGAGACAGTCCACAGAGGCGATGGCTGTGCTAATGGGAGAGTGGGCCGTGGGGATGCGCTGGGAGGACATCTAGAGCAAGACCCTTCTCTGCCGGCCCCGAGTTTCTTCATCTTTAAAAGAAGAGGGAGGACTCGATGACTCTGAAGGGCTTTCTTAGTTTTTACCTTTTGTGGTTCTCAATAAAACAGAACTTAAAAATCGTCTAAGCAACCGAAACAAATTAATGTATAGCGCGGCACTTTTCAGGCTTTGAAGTGCAGACAGCTCACCTGGAGGTTTTGCTAAAATGCAGATCCTGATTCAGTAGGTCTGGGATGGGGCCTGAGTTTCTGGTTTTGCCAGGAGCTCTCAAGTGGTTCTGATGCTGCCATTCCAAGAGCCACACTTCAAGCAGCAGGGTCTGGTGGATACCCTGTCTTTGGCTCCAGTGTGGGCACGTGACCTAACCTGGGCCAATGAGGATCGCTTGGGGCTTGGGCAGGAAGTGCTAGGAAGGAGAAGCTCTTTTAGTTCACAGCAGTTGGTTAAACTGGAGGGATGTGGTCCTGAAGCCCCTGCTTGGAGAGCCTGGCTGAGAATGAATCCAACATGGAGGAGAAAGTGGCCCAGAGATGGACAGGGCCAGTTTCCTGGTCAGAACCCCTGGATCCAGGCACAGCCAAAGCAAGATAGACATCCCCTCAAACTTCCCAGTCACGTGGGCCAATAAATGACCAGTTCTCTCCCACTGACTTGACCGGGGTGATAAAGTACTTGGTATCCTCAGTGGGCTCCGAAGATAATAGTGACAGCTTCTCTTTACCAAGCGCCTGCTGCATTTTCTTGCTTCTTTACTCATCCTCACCCCCCTATCGTTGGTTACTGTAGGTGTCCCCATCTCACAGGCGAGGAAACAAAGGCTCAGAGAAGAGAAGCGATTCGCCTGAAGGCACAGCCGTAGTGGCCAATCTGGGATTGCTCTGTGGCTGTCACCTTCAGAGTCACTGCTGCCAGCATCCTTCTCTGGGTGTTCTACAGTGTCGGCCGCCCCAACTGGGGAAGTTTGTAACGGGCCCAGCTGGAGAAGGGAGGGAGATCTCAGGAGGGCGTTGGACTGGCTGGACATCAACAGGCAGAGTTAAGTCATTTTATGTGGGGAGATAGAAATGGACAAGAGGCAACTTTGTGCTGGGCGGAGGGACAAATGGTTTGCCAACAAGGCACGTTGGCACAGCCATCTTGGAGAACAGTCTAGCAGCATCAGTAAAGCTGAGAATGGTGTGTCCCTTTACCTAGCAAATTCCTGGGTAGAAACCTGACAAAGTAGCGTGTGGGCTAAGGGGGCCGGACAAGAGTCTCAGAACGGCACTGTACTGGCTGGAAACAATAGGCGGCGACTGCCGGGAGATTGGACACGCACCAGGCGGACTCGCCAGCAGATAAAAATGAATGAACAGAATCAGCCCCTACCACCTCAAACAAACACCAGCAGAATCTGAAGTGACAAAAGGAGAACAAGTTATTTTATTTATATAAAGCTTAAAAATTATGAAAAAAGATATCTATTGTTTAGGGATACACACGTATTCAAGGATATCAAGATAAGCAAAGGAATAGAGGAATTCCACATTCAGGGGTGTGGTGGCCATGGGGCATGAGAGGGAGGGATGTTGGGAAGGAGTTCAGGAAGGTGTCAGTGATACGCGTAATGTTTTATTCTTAAGCAGTGTTGGGCACACAGCGTTTGACATATGATTCTCTTAAGTGTTTACACATCTCAATGATTTTGTAACAAGAGGAGAGACCAGGGCCCAAGGAGAGAATGGTTGGGGGTGGGAGGGCAGGGCAACTTTAGGAGACAGTGAAGAGGAGGCTGACAGTCACTGGCCTTCCTGTGCCAAGCCAGTGAGTTGCATATGGCGCTCCAGCACTTATGAGCAGTATATGCACAGGCCCTGAGGTGAGAATGGTAAGGAGGCTGTGGGAGTAGTTCATGTGGGAAAAGGTGGTGGGCTAGCTGCAGGGGCGGGGCCAATGGAGAGGGGTGGTAGAATAAGACGTTTGGGATGTCATGACAGGTTGGCTGTGAGCTGGGAGGCACGGGGAGGTCTATGGTGACCCTGGCGCTTGCTTTGGTGTGTTGGGGAGGGGCGTTCTGTGAGGCACTAAAGCAGCTCCCCATTTGTGTTTCTTGGACCAGTAAGAGGGTATGGCTTTGCTTCCACTAGTCAATGCACCAGGTGGGTAGACAGTCAACGTGATAGAGTCTAAGGGGCTAGGATTTCTTAGCACATTGGGGTGATCGGGAGAGAGAATCCCTGTACATGGATGCTGGAGAACAGAAATAGTTTTTCTTGAAGTCTATTGTTGGAGGAAAGGTAGATTTAGTGACAAATGGTAAGAATGTTTTCTGGAATTGCTGGGGGAGACATCTGGTTGCTTCTAAAAGCCATTAGGACGTAATAGCTCTGGCGACTTGGGTTCTCTCAGAAGCAGTCCTTGGGACAGGGGTCCTAGGACAAGTAGTTTATTTGAGAGGTGGTCCCAGAAGTCACTGGCACAGAAGTGGGGGAGTGGAACAGGAAAGAGAAGGCAGACAACAGACGGTGCAGTGCAGAGCCGGGTGCCACTGTGGGCAGCTGGGCGTGGCCCCGTCCTGAGTGAGAGAGCAGCTGGTGCGCGTAAGCCTCCCGCCCGGAGAGGGAGGAGGGTGTTTACACCTCCCTTCCCAGTAGTCTCCGGTTGAGGGCTGCTTCCAGAGGTTGTTCATTCTTCAGAACTTCGGGCCTGCCACTCACATGGGCACAGCGGGCTGCAGTGGCCAGAGCCGGCGCTCGGGCCAGGGCCTGACTGCCGAGGCTACCCCGGTGCCTGCCGCTGCAGGAGCGTGGACTGTGGCAGTCGGTGCGGTTTCTCCCGAAATGCGTGGTGCGGCCCATGTGTCCTGGGAGAAGCTTCTCCAGAAAGAGCTGTGGAGTCAGAACAGCTTGGGAAAAGTTAAATTCTCCAATACCGCTCTGGGGAGTTAAAATTCGCATTCAGTGATTGATGGCTCTGAGAGATCCTGTGCTAAATATCTCTGTTTGTCTTTGGCTTACCTAGCATTTCCCAAATTTATTTGACTTTGGAACCTTTTAAAATGTTATCATTAGCAATTTGCTAATGATGCTAAGGTGGTCACCTTTTAGCATCTCTTGAGGACATCTTTTGCTTACGCCTTGCCAGCATCTGTTCCTCCTCCTCCAGCGATGCCATGGAAGGCAAACGCTTCCGGACTCACCTTTTTGTTCACCCTCTGCCTCCAACTGCCACTCAGAGGGCCCTGGTGAACACACTGTGGCAGGGAAGCCGCCCGTCCTGCGCACGCGGTCTGCCTGCACAGCTCCCCAGCGCCCTGCTAGGGTCCCACTTCCTCCCCAGGCCTCACAGGGAAGTCTCTGAGTGAGGCTTTCCTCACTTTTCTTTATTTATAAGTGTCATTGATCTTGGAGCTGACAAGCCGTAATTCCAGAAAGAAGGCCGCTTTAGGTGGCACATACACTGAGACACATGTCCAGAGGCTCAAATTTTAGTCCCAACCCTACCATGAGCTCTCTGGGCAGAGGGCACTCTTGAAGATGTTGGACTTAAATTTTAAAAGCTTCTTTTTCTGGCATCTCTATTCCCAAAAATATCCCTGAAAACAAAGGAATAGGACCCCTTGTTGCTGAGAAGACAGGAAATGTCCACGTATGGCTGGAGTCAGAGGCCTAAATATTGCTACCAACTTCTAGTTTCTCTTCAGGTCTCTTTTCTCTGTTGATGCCATTTTCAGAGTTTTGCCCTGTGTGGTCCATGTGAAGGTTCTAGGTAGCTCCAGGGACCACGTCCTTCCAGATTGCCCTCCTGGGGGGCAAAATGTCCCAGTGTCTCCAGCAAAAGCTCTAAGCTTACTCTAATTGCCATAGCTCGGGACACATGACACTCTGAACCAATCGCTGGCCAGAAGAATGCCTTGTGCTGACTTAGGCCTGTGTCATATGCTTTACCTCTAACTCTAAGGGACCAGAAATGGGGAAGGCACTCAAAGAAAATTAGGGGCTATTGCTGGTAGAAGAGAAGATGGCTGTTGAGATGCATTTATTCCATACTTATTGTGTGTCACACTCACTGTTTCACCGAGTCTCACAAAATTCCTGCCTGTAAGGTATGAGAAACCTTTTTGGTAGAAAAGGAAACAGGCTCAGAGAGGTTAGGCGATTTGCTTAGGGTCACAGAGCAAATTACAGAGTTACTTATGGCAGTGCAGCCTGCTTTGGGGGGAGGGAGGGAGGCTATGCAGTGGTCAATAGTTGGTGCTGTGGAGGAGGAAGAAATTTTCCTCTACCAGCAAGGTTCTTCTGAGGGGTCTAATCATCAAGTACACATGAGGCAGATGAACAAGAGAAAATGACTGAATTCAATACATGCATATGTGTGGGGACCTCACATACACAAGAGAGTCAGAGACCCCCACATGCAGGAGGGGTTCAGACAGAAGGGGAGCGTGGGTATACGTGACATTCCGACGTAAGCATGAGGTAAGGGCCTTGGGGGCTTCGAAGGGTAAGAAGAGCAGGTGTTCAGGAATTTGGGCTTTGCCCAAAAGAGGTTATCTCTGGTGGTCTCTTACTATGCGCAAGGCCCCAGTACAAGTTCTTCCAGGTAGTTACGGAAGGGGCAGACATTTCCCTCGAACCTGAAGCTTAGTTGCCTTTAGCTCCAAACAATCCGAACACCGCAGGGCACAACTTGGGGTGACTTGTTCTGGACCCCCTGGTGCAGAAGGAGAAGGCAAAAAGGCAAACCAAAAGAGAAATTCCACAGAGAGCCAACTATCCTCTGCATAAGGACTTTTGCTGGAACTCTTGGGAATGAGACTCTCTCTTGAGAAGGCTCCCCGGGGAGGATAGGGCTTGGAACTGCCGGGGCCCCCACGTGAACGGCCCCCCCCGAGGGAGAAGGCAGCCCGGAGATGGGCGGTGCCAGCGGGGGACCCGGTTCCTGAGAATGTGGGTGGAGGTCCTGCATCCATCTCTTCCTGAACTGGTTCCGCCTTGAACTGTT